GAAACAAGTCCCCATTTTGTTTAGTTGTTTAAAATCAAGCATAAAAAATTACATGTACCGGGCGCGCGCGCGCCGGGGGGCGGGGCACTATCATTTCACTTTCACACACACGAATGACGGTGCTTTATAGCTCGGTCACGTCCTTGTTACCCACAAGGAAAACCAGCATGTTAACCACATACGCTTTGAGAGAGGATCTGAGAGGGGGGTGGCAACATTTCCAGCAACACTGAAAACCCTCTCGGATGGTGCGCTCGTTGCACTTACCCCAAATTCCACTACCTCCGCTCCGGTCCGGCCCCGCTCGCTTCCGAACTCAACTTGCGTGCGACTCTGGCGAGCAAAGGGAATCTCTCCCGCTTGTTGCTCCACCATGTCAGGCGGGTTCTTTAGGGTGGATGCATTCCTCCTGCAGGTAGCGAGTGAGCTCCAGCTCGGCTCAAACTCTCTTCGGGACGGTTGCAGAAGCAGTGCTTGTCCGGGACTTCAGGAGGTCTCCGAGCGTTTATTTATTTATTTATTTTTGCCGCTGGTGGCAGCTCCGTCTCGGCCAAGGACTCTGGCTGCGCAGCAGCTGACGTACTGAAAACCAAAGCGCTCCCAAAGGAGCGAAGTAACGTTTCGTTTTGATACCAGTGCAGCCATCCTTCTCAACATGCATCACTGAGTTGAACCAAGTTCAGTAATCGCGGTGGCCCATGATGCAGCGCGGTGGGCTTCTTCATATTGCGATATTTCATTTTTGCGGTTACCGCGACAGCCCTACTTTTGGCCTTTTCATTGACGTGCAGTGGTTCACTTCTCTTGTAACAAGTTCAGGCTCCTCAGAGAAGCAAAAAGCTGATGGAAACTCACAACCAGACCAAACACTCTACAAGTATGCACTATTACCACAGCTGTGCAAATAAATGTGAAAAATTCAGGAAATCCAATCTTGTCATTGTTCTGCCTTTCATGCACGCAGACAAAAGGGGTGCCCTCTCTGCGGGGTGGGCTAGTGTTTGTGAGAATAAATGGATTTTCGGAGGACCAAAAGGACTAAGAGTCATTTAGCAGCATCATTTATAGGAACACGGCCTAGAATGTTAGTGGGTGTTTACTTTGGTTCTGTTTATGTTCATGCTAGACTTCAGAAGCATCCAGGAGATGTCTTATCTCCTTATGTTTACAGAACTTATTGTGAAACCAGGTTTTTTTTTAGCATTGATGGAAAAAGGGTTTTTATGTGGATTTTGCTGCATTTTAAACTCTGCTCAGGTCCGTTAAAGAGACGATATGGAGTTTTAACCATTAGTCTCTAGAAATATCCATTGAAATGTTGTTGAAAATAAATGAAACGATGCCCAGTTGTTGTAAAATATTGGCAGCTTTGTAACATTTAAACATAAAAATTGGGTCTAAAATACATAAGAGCGAGTCTTAAGCCGTTGGGTGACACTATTCGATACCATGTTTCTTGCATTTATTGATTTGTAACAAGCAGTTACAAAACGTGTGCCATCCATAAACATTGTTGTTTTACACATTTACCTCTTCACTTGTTGCCAGTGAGGCAAGTGAATCTGATGTGCTTGTCATTTTGCTGGAGGTTGCACTCCCATGGATTTTTGACCCTAATGGCCATCAGTTGGTAAGGTCTTACTCAAACACAAAAATACAGCTTCCTGCAAAGGATTTGGTATGCACTGCCCCCTATTGCCAGGGTAAATGCACGTTGTCACTTTGAGCTGTAATGCTCAACTCCAACGATATTCTACACAGAATTACTGTGTCAAAGGTTATTTCACCAAAACAAGCCATAAGTGAAAACAAACAAATCACAACAGATAAAGACCTTAATGTCAGCATGTGAAAATGCATTCATGCTTTATGGTGTAATTTCATGAATGTAGATGCAGATTTAGTCCTGTTGCCGTAGTGGATCTGAGCATCTGCTACCCTACAAATCCCTTGTCACACCATATTAGCCCGCCACAGCCTCTTGGTTGGGATGATTGCAGCTTATGTCAAGCTTAGTAGTGTTTAGCTCTGTGAACCAGAGGGTCTTGAAAAGAGAGGGATGGTAAATGTTTGTGCACCACTCCAATCAATTTTGTAGTTCTTTTATGAGGGAAAGGTGTAAATGGCTTGTGGATAACTGTTGTGACACTTACCTCCAGGTTTCTGGCCAAACAGGTAATTGGTCTAGACTTCACACTGAGCAAATAAAATGATCTAATCATGAGCCTCCCTAGTGACCTTTCTTTTTCTTTTTTATTCAATCTTTAGGCTGTCACAGGAAGATGTTTCGGTGACAGGGATTTCCGAGGAGGTCTGGAGAACGGGATCCTGCTGTGCGAGTAAGTTTTGACTATGCATGTTTATTAACAGGTGCCAAAAGGATGTTTAAGTAAAAAATGTGTCACTCTTTAGTAAATGTGAACAGGAGATGTCACACGTTTTATATTTAAATGATTTTTTTCCCTCGTGGACAAAACCATTTTAAATATTTACTTAAACATATTCATTCTTGTTGCATTATGTTGCCATTCGAGTTAGGATAAAACAAGAAAGGGCAAATAGAAAATTATCTCATTCCAGGCGTTTTTTCTCAGTAGGAAAAAAAATCACCATTATTGTCATTCTCCCACTTAACGCCTACACACTGCTCAAGACAAATTGAAATCATTCTTCTTCTGTGCTTATAAACCTATTTTTGGAAATGCTGCTTTGCACCAGGAAATATTTAGAGTAGAGTAGAGGAGGAAATGAGACAATCTTCAGATTCACAAAAAAGGTAAACGATTCATCTCTCACTGGCTGCTGGAATGACATGATCATCACAGGACTCCTGATACTTAATACTGTGTATCCAAGAGTGGGTTTCCCCTTTACCAGGCAGAGTCATTACAGTGCTTCCTCTGATGAAAACAGGCACAAAAGACGAAATACGAGCCAGAGAGAGGAAGACAGGGAGAGTTAGAGACTCTCAAGCCACTTGTTTGTCACTGTTGAGCAGGTGTAGAAATGCACCATAGGTTCCCACAAGGAAACATTTGCATCTACATTCAAGAACAGATAAACCTTTTTCACATGTGATTTTACATGAACAGCCCAACAGGTCATAGAGGTCGAAAAGAAAGGCATTGATCCCCATCTGATTAAATGTCTGGATCTCCAGACGCTCCTATAGAGCTTTCAAATTGTCTTATCTTTGTCTTTTGTCTGAAGAGCCTTCCACCTTTTCACAAGATCTTTGATTTCATTTACCTTTTTTTTCTTCAGGGAATTTAAAACTGTAAAGACAGCATCTCTCTGCTTCTATCATTGGTGACAAATTGCAAACAGCAGGGAGTTTGCAAAATGCCTTGGAATATGTACAAGGGTTTTCAATGTCCCTGCGTGTGTTTGAAGGGTCTTGCTCTCGTGTGCCCTTTTGAACAACTTCTAAATTTTTGCAGGACTAATTTTCTCTCAAAATAATCACAGAGTTGTCACATGTGTCTGTTACTCATCTCAAGTTCTTCTTAATTTGGTATCCATGCATCAGAAAGTGGAAGAGACTGGTGACCTATGCAACCATAATGACTAATCTAGTGTAATTCAAACATAAAAGAAGTCAATTTTCTCCCAGTTTAGTGGCTCTAGCTGGTTGAAGCCATGTGGGAAATGAGCCTATTATGTTCTCGTATTGCATGTTTTAATGTGTGATTCTGTTTTTTCTTTTATTTAAATAACTTAAGGTGTGTCATTATTACACTCTGTGACTTTTTGCCAGGTTATTGAGCTCTATTAGACCTGGCTTGGTAAAGAAAATCAACAGACTTCCAACACCCATAGCTGGCCTGGTAAGTCATTTAATCTCACAAACACTAACGTTCACAGCAAGTGTCCTTCAGCTGTCGTGTTATTAGCAGATCACTTATTGTTCTTTTTGAAACCTCCACATTCGGCCAAACATATAGACTGTCTGATCAAAATTCTGGACTTGGACATTAAAAAACAAATGTAGTAAACATGCATCATAAGACCCGAGGGGGATTCCTACTTTTAACATGGTGAATGATTATTTCATGTAGTTGTCAGTAGGTTCAGTGAAGAACTTTAAGTTTGTGCCTTTCTTTGATTCAGATCTTGTGAATCGAAGTCTATGTGAACACTGATACTGTTCAGTTGAGTACAGTCCTGTACAGTAGAACCCTTTCATAGTGACCTAAGACCTTGATCTGAATGAAGAGGCTTTTCAGGACCAGCACTCGCATGTAAACAGAAGCTAAGAAAGTCGATGGCATTGAAACTCCACTCACACTTAATGCACTTCTAATTCCTCTCCTATTTGTCAACCCAGACATACACTGAGGGCTGTTTAAAGACAGGTTAGTGCAGAAAAAATGTGGATTTTATTTTCGATAACAAGAAGGCTCTATTTAAGTATGGACCATTACTATGTTATTTATTTATTTGTTTATTTAATCAATCAAAATTCCAAATAGGATCTCAGTTCTTAATTTCACTCTAGTTCAGTTACTCATGCAACAGTCTCATAAACACCTTAATCTGCCTTATGTTCATTTTCTTGATAAATTTAAAAAGTGAATGGATTAAACAAGGAAAAAATACACTTTTCTTATTACTTAAATTAGTTCAGCATGTTGAACATAGTTTTACCTTTAAACTAGCTACTTTAAATTATTTTGTACTGTGTAACGTGTGGTTTTTAAAATTTGAGCGCCACAATGTTCAGTCATGAGACAAAATCCACATTGCTGGAGCTGACGGATCCTAATGTGTAATAGCATAGACTATATAATAACACCAAAACCTCCCAAAATAATAGTTTAATATCAAATATATTCTGTAATTTAGCTTTCAGGGTAATTATGAGAAGAATTTCACATGTTTTTAGATTCATTGCATTTTATCAACTTCATTAATAATAATAATAATAATAATAATAATAATAATACAACAAACTTATATAGCGCTTTTTAGATCACTCAAAGACACTTCACAAAAAGGCAAGAAACACATAATGAAACAAAATGTAAAATAATGAACAAAACTGGGGGCATGCTGGGTTAGTATTAGGGGAAGGCCAATTTGAAGAAGTGGGTTTTAAGCAGTAATATGAAAGAAGAGAGAGAGAGAGAGAGAGACAGCATTCCTAATGTTTAGTGGGAGAGAGTTCCAAAGTGTGGGGGCAGCTGCTTCAAAGGCTCGATCACCCACGGTGCGGTGTACTGTTTTGAAAGGGGAAAGGAGGTTGGAGTCAGCAGAACGAAGATGCCGAATAGGAGAATGGCGATGGAGAAGTTCCGTAAGATAGGAGGGTGCAATGTGATTGAGGCATTTGTGGGTGATGAGGAGCAATTTTGAATGGATCCGGTATGGAACAGGGAGCCAGTGGAGTTGTTTGAGTACCGGAGTTATGTGGACCCTGGAGCGGGTGTGGGTGAGTAAACGTGCAGCTGAGTTTTGAATGTAGTTTTTGAAGGGCAGAGGAAGGAAGTCCGTAAAGAATGCTGTTACGGTAGTCCAGTCTAGAGGTTATAAAGGCAAAGATGAATATTAGGGCAGTGGAGTCAGTGAGGGATGGACGGAGACGGGCAATGTTGCAGAGGTGGAAGAACGATACCCTGGTGATTTTGTTGATGTAAGACTGAAAGGAAAATGAGGAGTCAAAGATGAGGCAGAGATTACGGACTGCAGAGGAGGGAGTCACTGTGAGACCATCATTATTAACCCATTATGTGGTTAAAATATATAAAAAATACAGATATTGCAACAAAACTTTATTATTATTTTATGCACCATACCTATAAAATATAAACTGTGAGGATGGCAATCAGACTTCTATGATCGTGTCACTGTTGAATGACAAAACAAAAATAAATCATCATCTGTCTGCTTGACCCTTACCAATCTGGGTTCAAAAAGGGCCACTCCACTGAAACTGCTGTTTTAGCAGTGACGGAATCCTTAAAAGAAGCTAGAGCGACTGCCAAATCCTCAGTGCTTATCCTGCTCAACTTTATCGGCTGCATTTGACACTGTCAACCATGGCTTCCTTTTGTCCACACTCTCTAGCATGGGCATCACAGAGAAAGCACACGCCTGGTTTGAATCGTACCTCACAGGACGATCATTCAGTGTATCTTGGCTTGGACAATCCTCTACCGTGCACCATCTTGCCACAGGAGTCCCCCAGGGCTCTGTACTAGGACCTCTTCTCTTTGCCATATACACCACCTCACTGGGTGAGATCATTCGATCACATGGCTTCTCCTACCACTGCTATGCAGACGACACCCAGCTCTATCTGTCATTTCCACCGGACAACCACGCTGTCTCTGCACGGATATCAAACTGTCTCTCTGACATATCAAAATGGATGAAATCCCACCATCTTCAACTCAACCTCTCTAAAACTGAACTACTTTTCATTCCAGCAAAACCATTCATACAGCACAATATCTCAATCCAAAATGACTTCCAATCTCTGGCTCCTTCAAAGGCAGTTCGAAATCTGGGTGTTGTTATTGATGAACACCTGACCTTTAAAGATCATGTTGCCCCTGTTGCTCATTCGTGCTGCTTTGCGTTGTATAACATACGAAAGATCAGACCATACCTAACACAACATGCCACCCAGCTCCAGCTGCAATCTACTGTCATCTCCCGCCTCGATCACTGCAATGCCCTTCTAACTGGTCTTCCAGGCCGTACTGTGAGACCTCTTCAAATAGTCCAGAACGCAGTGGCGTGTCTGGTCTTCAATCAGCCAAAAAGAGCACACGTCACCCCTCTGTTCATTGAGCTCCACTGGCTACCGCTAGCAGCACGCATCAAATTCAAATTGCTAACACTAGCATACAAAGTCCAAGATGGTACGGCTCCCATCTACCTGAATTCTCTTGCAAAGGCTTACGTCTCGGCCTGGCCGCTCCGTTCTTCACAGGATTGTCGGCTAGCAGTGCCTACACCACGCTCAGGACAATCCAGACTCTTCTCATGCATCGTTCCACAAATGTGGAATGACCTACCAAGCACTACCAGAACAGGGGCTTCCTTTTCAATTTTCACGAAACTCCTGAAGACCCTGCTCTTCAGAGATCATCTTCTAAACTAGCACCCTGCCTGCTCCCGTCCCCCCTCTCTACTGTCCACTCCTTGTTCCCTCCTCCCCATGACTGATGTCAAGTTGTTGTTGTTGTTAGCCTCAAGGGCAACATGCCGATTATCACTTGTAAGTCGCTTTGGACAAAAGTGTCTGCTAAATACATAAACATAAACATCTTACCAATCAGGGAAACTTGTGATCAGGTTGTTAAAACAGCATTTGCTGTTTGTTTATTACTCTCGTTATTAAGAGGTGCCATACAAAGTTTTAACTTGTTTTTGAAGGACTTTCTAACTTAAGGTGCTTTTTTACAGCGTTTAATGAGTTTTAGAGTCTATTTAAAGAAGGACTGCACACCATCAGAAAATGTTACTCCACCCCTAGTCAAGATTTGAAAAATGCCATGAAAGTGGGCATTGCCAGGAGGCACAGAGTAGCATGGCCAAGTGTGGGGAATTTCCATCCTGGGAGGGAGGAGGAGTGGGAGGAGACTGTACGGATGACGTGAAATTGTTCCAGTCCCAGTCAATCACAAGTTTAAAATGCAGTAGCCGCTGTTCTGCCACAGGGGGCAGCACTAACACATTTTTAGACCTAGATTCTAGATTTAATCAAGTTTACACAAACATGTCAAAAAATGCACAGAAATAGAATGATTGCATTTGTAAAGACCCAATTATACAGTTTATAAGCAAAAAATTTTTATTTTGAGGGTTAGTTACTCTTTAATTTTTCTTTGTTTTTTTGCAGTAAAGTTTTCTGACTTTCTTTGTGAAGGTGTATCTGGTATCTAAAACATATCAGTGATGCATGAAATAACATTATAAACACAATATCTAATTGTCCATAGGAGTTGACTCTGTGATTACTAATTGGACCAAAGGGACCATAAACACTCCACTGAAGACAATGTTTACATAAGTAATTTGTCAGCAAAGAAAAAGTAAAACTAAAAAAATAGGTGTTTTTTATTTGTAAATGAACAATGTGACCTTTTATGCTCTCAAAGTTTCATAATTCGGTTTCTTGAGTTTGTCTTTGCAGGGGTGTTTTTCTATCTTCCTCCTGGCTGTGGTTACACTAGTGAAAAAACATAAACAAGACGTTTGCTGTTATCTGGCTTATCATAATAAAACACAGCCCACTCCCCTTGCTCTTCCTGTTTGGAGGTTAATGGGAGAACGAGTCTCTGTGGAGTTTAGTCCGGTGTAATTATAACGGCTTACTGCTGTGCTTTTAGCTTGTGTGGCTCAGTGTTCATCACGCTCATGTTTGCTGAGCTGAAATTTTCAGTGCGCAAACAGATTATCACCTTCACATGATGAATATTATGAATTATCCCAGACATACAAAGTGTTTTTACCAGACATGACGTTCGTAGCATGAATCAGTTTAATAACTTAGAAAACATTATTTTAAATACTAGCTAGCAGTAGATTGTATGCTTCTTTCCAGTGTTTAGATATTCTGATCCTTTGTTAAAGAAACAGATTGAAAGAATTTCGTCTAACTCACTCCTGAGCTTCAGAAGTTTGAAGTGACGATCTTTTATCTGTCAGAGTTCTTAATGGGATAAAACAAGCCAATACGATTTGTTTTGAATATTTAAAACATTTGTTCTTGCAGTATTGTTGATCGGATATTTGAATGCAGTTTTATTTTGCGTATCAAGTTCAACAAAATTTCAAATGCCACTAAAATGTAATCGATGTGTACTTGTGGGTGGATGCTTATTGTCTGTTTTTATTTTATTTTAACAAATTGGCACAGAAGAAGAAGAATGTTTAAGTGAAATAAAGTTTGGTTCTGGAGTTGACCCAATAGAATGGAATAGACTTTATTAGTCCCACAGTGAGGAAATGCACTTGCTACAGCAGCACAAACTCCTAAAGAAAAGGAAGAAGAAAATAATTTGATTAAAGGTAAACACACTAAGGCAACAAGCTATTATTGTAACATTCAGCCACTAAAAACAATGAATAAAAAGAAAACTTGGGTTCCAGAACTATGCAGCATAAAGGCCACAGACATACTATGTAACTCTGATATTGCACAATTACTAAACACATGCTTTACTATTGAATTGATGTTATTGTGTACCAGGATAATGCCAGTACCAGTTAAACTGAGGAGTTACACTCTTACTGCAGAGGGGATGAATGACCAATGGTGGTGCTCTGTTTTACGTCTTGGATGTCTCAGTCTGCCTCTGAAGGAGCTGCCCATGGTCTCCACAGTGGGATGCAGGGGGTGGAAGGGGTTTTCCAAGATGGAACTCATCTTCACCAGCAACCTCCTTTCACACATCTTGAGTTCAGTGGGCAGCCCAGAACCAAGCTAGCTTTGTTAACTAGCTTGTTCCGTCTCTTCCTGTCTCGGTCAGAGCCAACAGACCACAGCAGAGTGGATAACATAGCCAATCACAGAGTGATAAAAGGATTTTAGCAGCAGGGAATTAACTCTGAAGGACCTCAGCCTCCTCAGGAGGTGAAGGTGGCTTTGGCCCTTCTTATACAGACCATCAGTGTTGTTAGACCTGTTCAGTTTGCTGTTGAGGTGAAAACCCATGTACTTAAAGGCATCCACCACCTCAATGTCTGCTCCCTAGATGTTTACTGATGAGAAAGAAAGAGTGTTTGTCTAGAAGTCGATCACCATTTCCTTTATCTTACTGGTGTTCAAGTGAAGGTGGTTATGCTCACACCAGTCCATAAAGTCAGTGATGACTGACCTGTACTCCAGGTCATTCCCCCCAGACACACAGCCGACAATGGCCGAGTCATCAAGAACTTCTGGAGGTGACAGCTGCTGGCGCTGTAGATGAAGTCTGAGGTGTAGAAGGTGAATAGAAAGGGTGAGAGCACTGTACCCAGTAGAGCTCCAGTACTGCACACAGCCACCTCAGACATACAGTTGTGCAGCCCCACGTACCGTGGCCTTTTGGTGAGGTAGTTGATGGTCCATGCAGTCAGATGTTCGTCCACTCCTGCACCCCTCATTTTCTGCTGCAGTAGACATGTCTGGATTGTGTTGAAGGCACTTGAGAAGTCAAAGAACATGATTCTCACAGTGCTTTTTTGCATCTCTAGTGAGTCAGCACCCAGTGCTGCAGATAGATGAGGGCATCCTCTACCCCCAATATTGCTCCAAGTATCCAGTTTTCCCGTGGCAGTGATGTCTTCCATTGTGATGTTGTCCTTGAGAACAATTCACACACATTTATTACAATTCTATTTTATCTTGCTTCTTATTGTTGTTAAATGAGCCTTTTCAATAACCCATCACTGTTTCAGTATTCAGGTAATTTGAAATTGCAGTCACTGATGGAGAAAAAATCTGGGACAAAGTTGTGAAGGTTTTTGTTGAATTTATCAAGACCCCACACTTCTTTACTAAAACATGCTTGAAATGATCATCAATTGAGTTGGTTGGTAGAGCAAATTATTATATTTAATTTTCTTAGACCAGTCTCTGTTGTTTTGTATTTTTCACTTATTCCAAGTGAAACGCTTTCTGTATGTAGAAAAATCCAAATACTCAAATTTAGTTTGCCTGAAGAGTGTCCTTTATGCACCTTGTACTGAGTGTTGTCATTAATGTAGACACAGCTAGAGTGCTGAGTGCTCTCCCACGGCGATGCCTGTGTGAGTGTTTGTATGTGTGGGTGGGGTTCCCTCACCAGAAGAGCAGAGATGGCTCGCTCCCAAAAACTGGAAGTAGCAGGGTGGGTTCAGAGTCACCGAAATAGAAAAGGAACGTGAGAACAAGGGTTTCCAAGGGTGTGTGTCTGTAGTCATGCTTGCATTCTTACAATTGCCAGTGTGAATGACACTCCTGGTGTTGTGACTGATAACCAAAAGCGGCCCATTCAAAACGGCTTCTTTTCCTGAATATCTGCATGTTAGATGAGAATATGTTTTGCATGGGAGTGGAAAAACGGAAGAGTTCTGAGGACAACTGGGGTGGAGAGGAAACGTTGACACCCTGAGCACGGAAAAAAAAGGGAAGGGCTTAGGTTGTTGCCCTTTGAAAGATAAAAACAAACACAAAGAGTGAGTGAGAAAGAGAAAGAGGGAGGAACCTGGGAACACAAGAGAACTCGGCTCAGGTTGCATCCAACAAAGAGTTTGTCAGAGCAGACACCGTGATGGGGAAAGAAGGAAGACCTCAGTGATGTGGACAGTGTGGAATGTAGGGACAGAAGGAATAAGGAAAACAGCTGAGTAAAAATATATTGATAAAGGAAAAGCTTACAAGTTACATAGGTGCAATCTGGTGAAGAAGATGGACAAATTCTGGACAGGGAAGTTGGTGGCGTCACCGTCCTGTTGAGCAGGTATCCAGAACTTTTTGGTTTGCACAGAGTAGTCTTGTTGTGAAATAGGAAACCACAAATAATTCATATGGCTTCTCCTTGCCTGATTTGTATTTAAATTATTTATATATTCTTTTTTTTCTATAATTTTTTTTTGGAGTGGGAGGATATAAATGTACAATGATCAAGTATATTGACATGGGCTTAGGCATTAACTCTTTATGTACTGATATTGGCATTAAAATGTAATATCAGAAATGATCTCTATGGGTTTTACTTTAATTACTCAACCTTTACGTTCCATGCACAAGCTGTAGAGAGACGGTGATTCAGCTGTTGTTGGACACCAAACAAATATGGCACTTTCTTCCATTGCCTAACTTTAATTGAAGTGGTTGTCATATTTTGCACGGATGAATGGATGGATTGAAATATTTGCATCTTTTGCGTAACTACTCTTGTTGTGATTTGGCGCTAAATAAATAAACTGAATTCAATTCAATTGAATTTATTTTCCTACCATACACAAAACTCCAGTACAGATAAATGCAGATACAACACCTAAAATACATACCCACAAAAACCAGATTAAATTGACTTGAAAAGCATCAAGTAAGACCCATGGGTATAATGCATAAGAGCACATTACAAAGACGAAATATACTGATTAGACTGGTGATAGTGAGATAATGTTTAGTGTTGAATTATGCGTTATATGATACATGAGGGGGCTGCAAAGTGGTGTAGTAGTTGGAGCTGTTGCTTTGTAGCAAGAAGGTCCTGGGTTCGCTTCCCGGCCTGGGATCTTTCTGCATGGAGTTTGCATGTTCTCCCTGTGCATGTGTGGGTTCTCTCAGGGTACTCCGGCTTCCTCCCACAGTCCAAAAACATGACTGTTAGGTTGATTGGTCTGTCTAAATCGTCCTTAGTTGTGTGTGTGCGTGCGTGCGTGCGTGCGTGCGTGTGTGTGTGTGTGTGTGTGTGTGTGTGTGTGTGTGTGCGTGCGTGCGTGCGTGCGTGCGTGTGTGTGTGTGTGTGCACGACTGACCTGTGTGTCTCTGTGTTGCCCTGCGATGGACTGGCTCTCTGTCCAGGGTGTACCCCGCCTGATTGCCCATTGACTGCTGGAGATGGGCACCAGCCCCCCTGCGACCTTACGTGGACAAGCGGGTTCAGAAAATGGATGGATGGATGATACGTAAAATAGTGTTTTTCTTTATTTTAATGAGGGAGGGACCCTGCATTATTGGTATTGGTTTATATCGTTATTACAAAAACAGTTAGTATATCGGCCCTAATATATAACATCCCTAATACTGTATATTACTACTTTAAACATGCATTAAATTCAGAATGGGATCAATGAGTAATCAGGACTTTGTGTGTGTGTGTGTGTTTTCCTTTTTTATATAGCGCCAAATCACGACAAGAGTTGTCTCAAGGCACTTCATATAGTAAACATTCCAATACACTTCCGTTCATTAAGCCAATCAGAAATAATGTTTCCTATATAAGGAACCCAGCAAACTGCATCAAGTCACTGACTAGTGTCAGTGACTTTACAGCAGTCCTCATACTAAGCAAGCATTTAGTGACAGTGGAGAGGAAAACTCCCTTTTAACAGGAAGAAACCTCCAGAGGATCCTGGCTCAGTATAAGCAGCCATCCACCACGACTCACTGGGGATCGAGAAGACAGAGCAGACACACGCATACACCAACACCAGCCCACCCACACATCCACACAACATATATACCAAGTAATGTTTCTATGGTTACATTGTGATTTCTTAGTAAATATTCAATTTGGTGAGAGATAAAGTTTATTGTATTTATCCCAGTGAATCAATAATTAAACAGGTAAACTAGTAGTAGCACATTCAATGTCAAAAAAGGTAAAATGTTATTATCAGGATAGGGAGAATGTTTAAATGGTTAGCAACAGTGTTCAAGCCGATGGCCCCCTCCCTTCATTGTAGCTTTTCTAGGAAGAAAAACACTTAAGAGAAAAAATAAAGTTAACAGCTGAAATAGCAGAAAATAATACAGTTAAAGAGCAAATTGTAGAAGAAAGTAGTCGAGTGTGAAAAGTGGTCAGTGTGTCATCCAGCAGTCTAAGCCTATAGCAGCATAACTACAGATATAACTCTGGATAGCCTAGCCTTTTAGAGGGAGGCATGTTGAAGTCAGGGCAAGGGAGAGCCGTCTTTACCGACTGTACACTCCACCTCCCTCTACTTCCCCACTTGTCCAGATTTAGGCTAACATCAGATTTTAACCATAGGCCCTATCAAATAAGAAAGTTTTAAGCCTAGTCTTAAAAGTAGACATGGTATCTGCCTCACGGACTAAAGCTGGGAGTTGGTTCCACAAGAGAGGAGCCTGATAGCTAAAAGGTCTGCCTTCCATCTTATTTTTAGATATTCTGGGAACCACCAGTAAACCTACAGTCTCAGAGCGAAGTGCTCGGTTAGGATTGTATGGAACAATCAGGTCACTGATGTTTTTCTGTACAGGACAACCTTAGTGTGTTTCTACGTGGCTGTGAGGAATTGGGACTGAAGGGATCCCAGCTGTTTGACCCTGGAGATCTGCAGGATACATCAACACGTCCAACTGCCAAGTAAGATTCAAGGAATCGTTATTCTACTGTCATACCAAAACAATGGTTTTATGTCCAGTTAAATAAAGAAGCATATTCTACATTAATGCTGCTGTGTTTAAGAAGAGGCAGACAATAGGGAGCAGTGGTTATTGAAAAAGCTAAACTGATCGTTAACTACCTTTGCATGATGCTAATTAGATTGGAAATTGAAGATGTAAATCAGTAATAGAGAACAGAAATGAAAAAGCTTGTGTCAGGAGATAAGTACTTTCCATCCAAAAATCATCATATTTTGAGCTTTGTGGGCATTCTTTATTGGTTAAGTTGTTTCCAAAATAGATCTTGGGTTTGAAGTAATTTGGTACATGGGATATTGTAAATTAGCCCATCTATAAATGTTATAGTGAGTTACAAGTTGATTGTACACACTTGTCCCTATCAAATGAATAAAAACACTGTATAGTAACTAAGCCCTTTGCTGACTAGGGTTGCAACGATTATAAATGTTGGTGGTACGATTATAGTCTGAGAAATAATCCCGGTTTCACGATTACCACGATTATTTTACATGAATTAATTTCACATCTGTGTTAACACATATAAATCACATACATTCTATAAATTATTGACAAAAGGCATGATTACATCCTTTAAAGGTTTTGAACCCCTGATATATCTATTGTTCCTTTTCAGAGATTTTGCTTAGAAAATTCACTCTACTACTGATTTGCAACGTTGATGCTTTATCTCTACAAATAACACTAGCCTGGAAGAGTTCTGCTGTGTGGTGGAGTTGCTAATGCTAACAGTTAGTTTCTACTAGTTGAGACATTATCTTTTTTTTCCCTGGAGGCTAAACCAACAACATCCTTCCCCGTCATGAGTCAAGATGGGTGAGATCATGAATGTTAAGTGGCAGTGTGTCAGACTTTTCTAATCCTAGTTTCACCGTCTATTTTCTATCAGAAGCTAATGCAGGAGATCGGTGTTGGAGACTATTTTCATGTTCAGCCTGCATGAAAAACTTATTAAACCAATTATCGGAAATAATCATAAAAAATGTTTTTTTAGTGAACCACACCTTTAATTATGTTTGCCTAATAGCCTTTTTGAGTTTCTGTAAAAAGAAAAAAAGGTTTAACTGTTGACCATCGGTCAGGGTTAGCACTGAAAGATGGAGACACCTTAATGAATTATGATGCTAATTCCTACTAGTGCAGTTATTATGAATATTACTTATTGCTTAAATATAATTTCTACTTGTTCATATCTATTTAAATGTCATCAATAAGAATAGTGTTTGGACAAGGATGAATTATATTATTGTTATGGAGAATAGGAATTACAAAGATGTGTTGTTGATTAAATATTAAAATGGCTGCCGTACAGGTTGTTGTTGACAGATACAGGGGAAACGTGGAACAACAGTATGAACTGTCGTTCACTAGACTGTTCTAATATTACTGTTAAATCTGTTCAGTCACCAACGTAATCTGACTCAGTTGGAGTTTTTTAGTCTGTGAGATAATCTCAGAGATGATAACAAGTTGGGAGTGTTGCAACTTTTTTTCTGCCAGGTCTGCAGATGGACAAGGCGTCGTTCTGAATTTCTCTTTGGGAGTCTAAAATATTCCCTCACAGGAGACTTGAAGTGCTTCCTCGGTGGAAACAGAGCAGTCCCAGTGGTTGTTGACGCTGGTTCTGCTGCGTGCGTTGGTTCACTTTCACTTTGGCCTGCTAATGTTTATTTTTCTATTTGCGGCTTTGGAGACATCTTTATGGTGGGTTAACAGCAGCGTTTCACATTGTGGTTAATAGTCAAACCGGTTAATCCCTGCAACCCTACTGCTCACTAGGATCATCACTTTGACACATTTTGTTTCATTAAAGTCAAACCCACCTGAGTTAAAATCATCACATCCAAGTTCTGCAGCATGGCACTCAGTGTACTTGTGCCCTTATTGCACTGTTAAATTATATTTGTTACAACATCAAACCAATTTGAGCTGAAAAGACAAAGTCCTAATGTGCACCTGTAAATGATACAGTGCCTTCTAGGGTTTCACAACCCCTCAAGGCACTTTACAAGAACAAGGACTAGGTTTGCAAATTAGCCTCTGGCTAGAAAACCTCTGTATAAAACAACGGTTGCATTGTCCTTACATGTAACATTGTTTCTGGTGCTGTCCTTGTTCAGTAAAACCAAACTAAACTAAAAACACAAGCAGTAATTCACCCATGCACACACACATTCACACACTGGTGGTGATGAGCTCCCCTGAGGCATACTGACAGAGGCGAGGCTTCCAAGCACTGGCACCACTGGTCCCTCGGACCAGCACCAACCACCAAGGTGGGTTAAGTATTTTGCCCAAGGACACAATGGCTGCAACTGTTGCCCTACCTGTTGTATCCAGAGTTTGAATTACTGCTTTTGTTGAACTTTATAATTTTGTGCATACTACGCCTTTTCATCACGTGCACACACGTAAACGTATAAAAAACATGGTGACAAAACTGGCTTAATATGCAATATTTGAGCACATAGCATTTACTTGACTAGAACAAACATCATATTTCTGAGCCACTGGTCTGCTTATCAACCAAACTGATGATCAGCTAGCCCTGGTTTGGAGCTGAGGAATCAATGCACCCTAATGTTGTACCTGTTTCTGTTGATGTTCTTATGAATACAAATCCTAGCTACATAACAATTGTTCCAGTTTTTATGTGTTTGCACAAGTTTGTGTTTTACACAATTAGAAATAAGGCATGTTATTAGGGGCAGCAGTAGCTCAGGTGGTAGAGCGGATTGCCCCATGATCGGGGGGTCGTGGGTTCGATTCTATCTCCTGCCTGGGGTATTCTGCTGTTGTGTCCTTGGGCAAGACACTTCACCCAACTTGCCTGTGTTGGTGGTGGTTAGAGGGGCTGACGGCGCCAAATGGCAGCTTCGCCTCTGTCAGACCGCCCCAGGGCGGCTGTGGCAACAAAGTAGCTTATCATCATGGGCAGTGTGTGAATGTGAGAGTGTGAAAATGTCTTTGAGTGTCCTAAAAAGCGCTATATAAGTTAAATGCATTATTATTATTATTATTATTATTATTATTATTATTATTATTATTATTATTATTAGTGCGGCTGATGTGATGAGTCCTGTTGCTGAACTCTTCACTGGTTTGCCAATAGTCTTGTCCTAAACACTGGATGTGCCTTTCTTTGTGTTGCTCTGTGTCATTCAGCATGCCCATCATTCTGTGCATTACACAATCATGCTTTTCTCTGCAACATAAATTAGTAAACGACTGTCAATAGAAGTGTATACAAGCTTGTCATTGAGGAAACAATGGCGTATCTGTTTGACACAACTGGTATCTGTCCAAATATAACTAAAGAGGGTTGCATCACTCACTGAACCATGGCTCTTACTTTGTTGCTTGGGAACAAAGCCAACCGCTTGTTGTGTGTTACATACACTGTGTTTGTGTGAATATGTGGGTGTGTCAGTGTGTTTAGCAGCACTGTCTCATGTCAAGTGTTTCTAACCCAGGTTTCATTCACACAGGGGTTGAGAACACTGCTTCTAGTGATGAGGCAGTGCTAGGCCTACTAGTCACAGGAGTAGCTGCTTGACAGATTATGTCGGGACAAAGAAGTCTTAACACTAAAGTGTTCATGTGTGTGGATGCATGCTTTGGAGTAACCTCATGCATGAAGCCCCCATGATGATCCTGAGGGTCATTAAATTAAAATGCTTTTAATAGAATCTCATAATAATCCCATCTGGCAGAAAAATGTTATAACACACATGCAGTTCTTCCTTAAAGTTTCGATGTGCTTTATTTGTCATTTTTGCAAGAAATTGTGACATTTTCTAGAAATGAGTTAGCAAAGGTCTCCTGGTCAACAACAGCATTTAGTGGGACAGTCTGGGGCTGGATGCTAATGTGTTTGTTGCAGCAGAGTCCTCAAATGCAGTAGAAATAGTTGTTTAGAAAACTCACCTTATGTTTTGGAAACTACCTATAGCATCACCAATGGAACTAAAATAAATGCATGCATTTTTTAACAAATGATCATGCAATGCCACAAAAATATTAAGCTACATGTTTGCTGCGTTGGATTTACACATCCTATGGAAAAATAGTTGTGCTATTTGGAAAGCTCAGGTAAACGTGGTAATTCCAGACCAGAGCAGGACAACAAGGACACGCACTAAAGAGGAAACTGTGCTGTTGTTCCAGTGTCTCTGTGCTATTTTCAATGGTTATGTAATCCTCCGTCGTACAGCATGCTGTTTTCTTGCACCTTATACAAGTGCAGGAGGCAGTTTGATTCACCCAGAAGAAACTGGACAAGCATTTACTCATCCGTGAGAGAATTCTGGACTAGAAGCTGCACAGGCAGGCAGCCTTTCATCAGTTCAGGTTAGAAATGTGCCCTCTTGGTACGTTGTAGCTTTTTGACCCAGATTAATAAACCCGTACTTTTGAATCAGAACTGATGTATTACATGTATAAATTGTGTGTGAATGTTAATATTTTTATGTCTTTACCAATTTATATCAGCCACAAGTGCATTTATGAACTGGAATGATAAAACCTGTGCCTGATACTTGGTGACTAGTCTTTAGACATTGTAAAGTCACTTGTAAGTCGCTTTGGACAAAAGCATCTGCTAAATACATAAACATAGACATGACCTGATACTTGATGGAATCTGAAACATTCGTACAGATTAAAAGCTGAGAAAAGATGCCTGTCCGTGTGTTTATTCAGCCAACAGAGGTGCGGGTGACGAAGAGGAGAGGTTTACAGCTCATCCCTTCCAGCTTCTGCCTACTTCTCCTGTCTCACTGTTTTGTTTCTCAGGTGTCTGTTGTCACCGAGCTATTTAGGTGTAACTTTCAGTCAGAGGGTCTCTGAACGACAAATAAACATTGTCACAGTTTGTTGTATGATTGCATGTTCTTACCCTAGACATTAGACATCTCTAGCGCATTGTTAACTAATTATTACTTTGTACTTTGTGCACATGTTGCATTATACTTAATATATAATTATAACAATATTGAAGGGATTTAATGTAATGTAGTGTATACCCTCTCAAATAATTAGCTTTTAAAGGATAACACATTACATATGTGTACAACTTTAAGGCTCAAGCCAAACTGACCAGAGTAAAACATTTTCTTTAACTACTTGGGTTGCAATGGGTTAAGTATTCCCTCTGGTTTGTATATTGGATTAAGCACTAAGCAGTTATTATGCAAAGGGTTTTCACCCATTTAAACATTTGTTTGTGGTAAACCAAGGGCCCCATGCTGCATAAAGGGCTGTTAAACTAGAATGGTGTTTTTGGTTAGAGAACTAACAACAGGTCATGTTTAATTTTAGTTTACTTCACAGGTTTTTACAGAGTCTGCGTAAAACTCAATGGGTGATTTTCTAAGGTGTCAACAAATGTAAACATGTTTGTTTTCCTCACTTGATTAGTGTCAATAGTGCATTAAAACAGCTTATCAGCCAAACGCAATGGGTCCCTACTTTATTACTGCTTTCTCCTGTGTCATACCACAAGGATTAATTTATTGCAACTGTTTAGCTCAGTTTGTAAAAAATGGATTGTCTGCTCTCTCTCTCTCTCTCTCTCTCTCTTTCTCTTTCTCTTTCTCTTTCTCTTTCTCTCTCTCTCTCTCTCTCTCTCTCTCTCTCTCTCTCTCTCTCTCTCTCTCTCTCTCTCTCTCTCTCTCTCTCAGGGGAAGCGACTGCAGTCGAAGACTCAAGAATGTAAGTGTTAACCTCTAGATTACAGTTTAATTATAGCAATATAATACATGTGTTTGGGTGTAAAGTTGTTATTTTGACATAATTGGCTTTACACTGAACACATTTCTTGCAATTTGTCTTTTTTGTATTATTCCACATTTGCCCTTTAATATTTCCTTTTTTATGTTGAAACAAAAAAAGCGTTAACAGCAGAAGTGTGTTTGCACCTGAAGTCTTATTTATTTTAATGGAATGTTTATTTCAACCTTCCTTCAGAATCGTCCCTAACGATGTCTCTTTAAGAAGCAGAAAACATGTTTTCTAGCTCAGCCCACTTTGCAGTTGAAGCAGTTTCAGTCTCTGTTTGCTCACTTTCTCTCCTCCACCCTCTCTGGGATGCTGGTGTGCACTGAACAAGTTAACGTGCCCCACTGCAGAGCTGGCCTGTCCTGCTCTTTTAGCTGACTAAACACCACCACTCTCAGCTGCATTAGCCAGCATTTGATGCTGATGCTTTGGCCGGGACCTGCTTCTGTGATGTGCTGCTGCTGCTGTATGATTTTGTCCTGCACGTACAGACCTGAGGACTGGGATTTGAACAGCAGCCGTTTCTGCAACGCATCAGATTCTGAGAGGTGAAGAACCTGCATCGAGAGGAATTTGCTGATTGGGTTGTGAAGGTGTTGTTTAGCAAACAGATCTAATGTTGAGATAAAAGGAAAATGCCTGGATGGGTGGGAATATCCTAGAGGTTTTTTGTGTGAACAATGTGTGTCAGTTGTAGGTAAATGAACATCAATCACTTCTTTATGTAGCACTTTGTGTTGGTGGATTGTTTAATGTGTGTTTTTGTTTATCATGTGGATGTTGTGTATTTTTTTGGGTCTATTGCATCCTTGTATGTGCATGGTGTGTGATGTGGCGTTTTTTTGTTGGAGGACGCGTGCCTTAGGTGTAGAATGATTACTGGGCTGGAATGTCCTTAAATTAAACAGCGGTCCAAAACAGATGTTTGGAATTGTCGTTCCATTTATTAAAGTGAGAAAAACAGGCAAACTAAACAAACTTAAAGAAAATTGATGCCTACACTGTCGAGCACGGTCAAAACCGATTGTCTCCAAAAAACCCACACCTGTGGCTTGACTAGGCCACCTTTAACCTCAAGGTAGTCCTAAAACCACACCCAGAGCACCTTCTGTAGCAGATGGCTCCACCAGTGTGTATATGTGTGTTTGAATGGGAAACTCTGAGGTGATTGTTGTTTTTCAGCTAACCCGTCTTTGACAGGTCATGTGTCACTACAGACAACCACTAAAACCGATGAGGCAAAGCAAGTGTGACACTATGCATCGCCTATTGTTGTTCCTGCCACTCAAAACTCCACCGAGGCATTTTTAAACAAATGTTTTGTTTCAGCTGCTGTATCTTGGTGCTTGTGTCCAAGTTTCTGTTTGATGTTGGCTGCTGGTTTGCTCCTGGATGTCTGTGTCAGTTATGCAGGCAGGAACAAATGTGGACTATTTGTCATTGTGCTTCTGTAGTTGTGATCAATACGGATGTGTTTGAAGCTCAATGATACACACGTGGATCACATTTGGTGGTGACCTATTTCCACTGGAACTGGGTAGTCTGTATATGGTGCCACTGATGTGTGCATTCTGCTCGGGCTACAAAAATGTCTAAAATGTAGTTTGTGCAGACTGGCTGCAGAATATCATACCTGCATAGTTTTGCTTCCAGAAGAAGTGACAGAACACACCACTTTCTGAAAAGTTAGTTTTCTGACTTTCTCTCAGATGTGCAGCTCGGCTCTTCTGGGTCATTGATAAAAATAAATGAATTTCATTTTCTAACACAGAACATGAGTCCTCTGGCTTTGCTTCCAGCCCCCGTAGCTCCTCCTCCCCGTTGAGTTTGAGTGGCAGAAGTTGTTTCCACTGACAGCACAACTGAAATAAACACATTAAGCCACGCTGAGCTCTCCTATCAAAGCAATCCCTCTGGAGTCAGAGTTGACGTGGGCTCTGTAAATATAGCTGGAACCGCTTTCGCTAACAGTGTTAAAGGTTCAGCCCTCTGTGTTCTCAGAGTCAAGCTGTTCAGTCTGCAGTTTAGGCATTTAGCTGACCACAAAGAAACCGTCTCTGAACCTAAAAGCATTGGCTCTTCAGTCACACTGAGCCTTACCTCAAGGCATTAGGGTGAGCTCAGCTCATCCAGTCATGTTTTTGTGTTTGTCCTGGTAGCTCAGAGGCTAAAGCAGGTAGCAGACAGTATAAATCACACTGACCACTTGAAGGTTGTATATACTCAGAAGAAAGTGTGACAGGTTTTAGGGGCTAATCAATGACCTAGGCTTGTCGTATTTGTGCAGGATGCGTATGCTAACATTTAACTTCCTTGGAGTGGTCACCGTTTGTCCTGTTCACTTCTACCCTCCTTCATACAACCAGTGTTTTCAGTGTCTTCACCTTTTTTATCTGAAAGATTTTAGCTGCTTTGGTTAGGGTCAGGGTTAGTACACATAAATGCTGTAGCTAATTAGCACATTTTGAGAGTTGGCAGGACAGTGTTTGACCTGGGTGTTATTTTAAACACTTGTAGCTTAAAAAAGCTATAAGAAAACTATTGTTAAGCTTATAAAGGCTGTATCTGCAAGTTAAATATACACACTATTTACTTTTATACATGCAGTACCTGTTTTAATTTGCATTTTAAAGATCCTGGATCATAAATACTGCATAAACAATAATCATTGTGACTTCTTTATTACTTTAAAGCAAGCTGAGAGCAGTCAAGAATACATAAGAGCAAGTTTTACAGATCAGTTTTGACTGAAACCGGGAGAGGTTTATAGTGCTTATGCTTTTACATGTAGACTTTAAAATGTTTTAAAGGAATTACAGGTGTGTAATCTGGATTATCCAGTACTTAAACCTTTTTTATTAAACCAATTTCATTTTATTTTTTCATGACGATGACCCCCCCCCCCCCCCAGGTATTAATCACCATCTACTGGCTTGGTCGTTCTGCCAATGGTTGCATCTCCTACAGCGGGCCCACGCTGGACCTGAAGGAGTTTGAAGGCTTGCTGTCACAAATGCGAAAGGTTTGCAGAGTTAAAGAGTTCAACATCAACCCCAGCCACAGAATCAACAGTCAGCTGATATTGGTATACCATATTGTTCATTTCTTGGCTAAATGTCAAGCATGGATGGAAGGACACACACTCTCTTGACCACATCACAAGTGTGTTTAGAAGTTCTGCTGTCCTGAGATTTCTCAGAAATGATCTCAGAGCAACCATCCACCTCTGGTCTGCTCATGACCTGGACCTTGAGCTGTTTTACCCTTCTGTCCAAAAGGACAGAAGTCATAACCATGATGTCACCTTCATGTTATCTCTTCCATAATGCGATGTCCCGTTTGCTGTATAGAAAAGGGAGAATTACTGCCAGCTCAGTGGAATTCGTTTATCAGATGTTAACGTTTAAACTACATTTACATGCAAAAATAATTGCTGTGATAAAATGTGAATTACTAATCAAGCAGAGCTCATTGAGTTCCAGTGGCTGTTGTTTACCTCTAACGCCTGCTGGTTAAAGTGTACCAGGATGTAGGTGTTTCAGTATGTGTGGTAAAAACAGGCTTAAAATGATAACATTTTGTGGTTTTTAACTGTGTGGGAAATGCACTTATTATTCAGTCCTGAGATGTAAACAGAAAAGAGCCTCTGGGCTTCAGCAGCAGGAACTGCTGGGTTTGAAATGGTCAAACATTTACAGTGTTGACGTAAAAGTAGAAATTGATCAAAGTCACAGTAAAAACAAGCTTCATTCTAACTGAGAAAAACAAGAAGTGTTTTTTTCTTCTTTTCCTTTTGCCATTATTCAAATGTCGAAGCAAAGCTGATGTATGTCACAGCCAAAGGTGATTCCCACACAATGTGGGATCTTGAAAAAAATAACAAAGATCTCTGCAGGCTCTTAGAGTTGCATAACAGACGATACAAGGTTCAGGAAAAGGAAGTCATTTAGCACGCAGGAAAGGTCCTTCTCCACCTTCCATTAGTGACAAAGACATGTTTCAACTGTTGACAGGACAGGAGGAAAGGTCACAAATGTGAGGAGAGAGCAAAGAGAAAGGAAAGCTAATAGAAAAAGGTTGTTGGCTAAACAGCTGTGGGAGGACTCTGGAGTTGGTTATAGCTGTTTGACAGATGATTGGATTTAGATGTGTGTGTGTTTCCATCTTCTCAGGACGCAGAGGTGGCGGACAGCCCGACACGCAGCATCCGGGACAGCGGCTACGTCGACTGCTGGGAATCTGAGCGCAGCGACTCTCTTTCTCCACCACGCCACGGACGAGAGGATTCATTCGACAGCCTGGACTCCTTTGGTTCGCGCTCACAACAGACCCCGTCACCAGACATCCTGGTTGCCCGCGGCAGCAGCGATGGTAGGAAGTGCTCCATCCTAAACTCTTCATACCCCTTGAATCCTATTTGTGGAAGAAGTTGTCTTTGTTTCCGATGCGGGATCATTCAGTTTCTGCTTTATTGTTAAGGTGTATAGAAACTGTGTACAGATGGATGTCTCTGTATCTCCAGTGTGGTGCAGCCTGTTGTTGTCCTACAGGACACCGCCCAGTGTTGGTTTAAAGAGTGCTGCAAACACACAGCGCTCTCTTTGCTTGTTCTGAAGAAACTTGTGTTTATTGTTTAGCTTTAACTGGGCCCTTTATGTATTTAAATAGAGGAGAAGTTGGGTGCAGACGATGTTCAGGTCAAGTTACATTCACACCACAGATCAGCTTCCTTTCTCATAAGCTGATCATGTTTATTCTTCTGTTATTTCTTTCACAGGCATCATATTAGTTCCTGTTTGTGTCAATCTGAAGTGTCAGAAAAAGGCTCCAGGCCCCTTTAAAGCAGAGTTACATTTATTATTTTTAACTCATCGGACTGGTTTATGGTTGAAGTTACAGTGAAACTATTTATGACTGAAACGTTTTTTTTTCACACTTTTGTCTCGTATACATCAGTTCTTGGTGGTAAAATTTTAAGATAAACTTTGAAACGTATTTAAGGATAAATAGAATTCTATCATTACATCTGACCTAATTCAGCATGGTGGCATTGACCCTAAATGCTGGTAGGTTTTTAAATACAAGCTCACATAACAGCTTCGAGGTCTTTTTGTAGTGTGTGCTATGGTCCTGAAGAGTTTTACTTGTTTTTTATTCTGCCAAAGCTGACCATTTGCTGCTTCTGAAAGCCGGTGATTACTGTGCTGTTTGTTAATTTGACCCTTTAAAATTTAAAAGTGGCTTATAAAGGATTACAGCAGTCGTCACAGTGTAATTTTCACTGCTGAACTGCATGTGGAAAAATCCAAAGTGAGACTTTGCATCCTGTTTGTTTTTTGTTTTATTTTGAGAGAGAAAGGGAAACCAAAGTTTCCAAAGTCAAGGCTGTTACAGAATGATATATTGTTAAAGCTTTTGTAAAACGTGGGCATGTTCCTCAAATGAAAAGAAGAAAGATACAGCATATGCCTTTGCTTCAGTAAAAAAAAACTCTGAAAGTTGTAGTTATTGGTTTTTGAAAGCAGAAGAAAATATCCACTTGGGAAGTTTTGGTTTCCAAAACATCGTATATTTTTTCCCGCAGCGCTCCTCCGTGAGAGCGGGGAGGGGGCGGGGCATGACGCTTAACCTGGCGGGTGGCCAAGCCGCCAGGCTTATAAAGCGCTGGGGGAAACCCTGCTCCTTTTGCAGAAATAGCAGCCTCTAAACCAGAGGTGTCAAACTCATTTTAGCTCAGGGGCCACATTGATGGAAATCTAGTCTCAAGTGGGCCGGACCGGTAAATTAAAAACAACTTCAGATTGTTTTCTTTGTTTTAATACAATCAATATAAAACAAGGCTGGAGCCTGAGGACAGTGTATCCAAAATAGTACAAGTACAACACCTGAAGTGTACTTGAAATTTTGAAAAAAAAAAAAAATCAATAAATAAAAAAAAACATTCCTCAGTGATTCAAAGAGCTTACAGATCACATGGCTAGATCAGTTTCATGCAGCACTTAATGTATATTTGACTCATTTTACTTTACATCTTTTAGCTTTCACCAGCACATCAATATCAGAAGTCACATCCTGAGTGGCGGCCAACTTCAGGATGTGAAACTTGCTCACAAAGATAAGTTTATTTTAACTCTACATTGTAAAGTATGAAAATAAAGTTTTCACAACCAACTCGTGGGCCGGATTTAACCCACTTGCGGGCCGGATTCGGCCCGCGGGCCGCATGCTTGACACCCCTGCTCTAAACTCTTCCTATAGCTAGTGAGAGTCTGGATTCTGGTTGAAGGTATTTTGGACCATTCTTCTTTACAAAACATCTATAGTTTATTCAGGTCTTATGACTTATGAGCATGGATAGCTCTCTTTAACTCACACCACAGATTTTCTATACTATTCAGGTCTGGGGACTGAGATGGCCGTTCCAGAACGTTCTACTTTCTGGTTGTGCAGCACCAGGCTAAAGACCAAAGGTGACAGATCATTTGCTGCTGTGGCCCCAGACTCTGGAGCTCTCTCCCCCGAGCCTGAGATCAGTGGACTCAGTGGTCTCCTTTAAAAAGCAGCTGAAACTCACCTGTTCTTTAGAGTGACTTTCATCACCTCCCTCTACTTATTCTGTTCTTATTCCACCTTTCCCGGGATCCATTGGTTTCCCTCTTTCCAATTCATTTTCTCTCTCCCTTTCCTTACATATTTTTGTTGTTGTTTTTTTTTTATTTTAAACATATTTGTAATAATTGTTTAAATCTTTTTATACTTAATAATTTTTTTTGTTTCTTTTTGTTTTTGTGAAGAGCATCGTGAGTATTATTTTGAGAGGCACTATATAATAAGACTGCTTCTTCTTCTTCTCCTACTTGATCCTCTGCATGAAGGCCTTAGTAGATGTTGAGCTGATGTTGAGCACTTTTTTTAGCTAATTGGGCAGCAGTAGCTCAGGAGGTAGAGCGGGTTGTCCAGTAATCGGAAAGTTGCAGGTTCGATCCTGGCTCCGACCAGAGAATTCTGCTGTTGTGTCCATGGGCAAGACACTTAACCCACCTTGCCTGCTGGTGATGGTCGGAGGGATAGGTGTCGTCTGTGCTCGGCAGCCTCGCCTCTGTCAGTGCACCCCAGGGCAGCAGTAGCTACATTGTAGCTCAATGTGTGTGTGAATGGGTGAATGACTGATTGTGCTGTGAAGCACCTTGGGGGGTTGTAGAACCCTAAGACGGCGCTATACAAATACAGGTCATTTACCATCATGAGAGAGTTGTTTTGAGACCCCCACAATAATTAGTTCTAAAGGTTTGGGAATCAATAAAATTACAACAGTGCCCATATTTGTGCACCTGTCTAATTTTTGTTTAAACAATTATTGCACACTTTCTGTAAATTCTATAAACGTACTTTCACTTCTCAAACATCACTGCGTGTGTCTCCTATATGATATTTTTACCTGAAAATCTTTAGTGTAACAACCAACGATTTATACAAGAAAATCATGAAGATTAACAAGGCTGCTCAAACTTTCGCATCCCACTGTATGTACGTAGAATTTAAGCTATCAGCCCTCAGATCACTCCCTCGAGTACAAACAAATGAAGAGTTGAGCTGAGATGTTCGAGTCGCAAGAGATTTTGACTACACCCGCAACAAGAGCATCTATTTATTAAAATCCATACGAACGTGGCAGGTTTTCCTCCTGTGACCTTCAGACAAAGCCCGTTCTTCATTCTGCTCTGAAAATCTACTTCACCACGACAATAATTAGTGAACAGAGGGAGGATTTTAATTCAATCTCAGAGAGAAATTCAATACTGGCTGCACTCTTGTTTGGGCCAGGTTTGTAGATGGATAAAGATTTGATAAATGAAGGGAGCTTTTTGATTTTGGTTTTTCCAGTTTTACAGGGAGACACTCACTACAAGTTACATCTGTTTAAAAGAATCTGTAAAGAATGATTTTCAAGAATTTTGCAAAAGCTATTACTTCAGCGCAAGCCGTTTTTCCTGAAATATCGGTTGTTCATCTGATGGTCATGGTGTGGACCCAATTATCCCATACTATTCAATTCAGTTTATTTATATAGCATCAAATCATGACAAGTCTCAAGGCACTTCACATAGTAAACGGGTAAACTAGTAGTAGCACTTTCATTGTCAAAGAAAGTAAAATGTTATTATCCGGAGAGGGAGAAGGTTTAAGTGGTTAGCAGCAGTGTGCTAGACGATGGCCACCACCATGAGGCCACCACAGCTCAGCAGAACACCATTGGAGCTTCTTCTGAGGAGAAAAACACTTAAGAGAAAAAAAAATAAAGGCTAAAATAACAGATCAAAGTTTCTGATGATGTGTTCATAATACCCAGGTCATAATTTAAGTATTTCACAGTGCTCAGGTTCCCTTTATTTCACTCACACAAAAGATTGTGTAGCTGTTAGTTCTGACTAATAAAGGGAAAAGCTGAGTGTTTTACATTTATAGATATGGGAAACAGAGTGATTTAAAGCAGCTCTGGATAGGTTTCCCCTACTGGCTGAAAGCATAACTACAACTGTTGTAAACAACCCTTCTAAAGTTTCTGGCTCAACAATAACTGAAACTAGTCAGAAAGCAATTGCTTAAAATGTTAAAAACTCTTAATTGTTGCATGGTCTGGTTTAAAAAACACTTGCTGAACATTGCAATCATTTCCAACATGTTAGCAGCTTTGAACTAGACTGCACAGCCTTCCGTGGACTCTGTTAGGTGACCTCTGCGTCTCTAAAATCATGGTACAGTAGGGCACTGTCACATTAAAACTAAATATTTCCTCAATCCTCAGCATTGCCATGTGTACAGAGAGAACATCACCCATAAAAACATGTGTTGCTGCTTAAAGACAGATTACGGTGGACGAGGGAACATTCATGTTTCCAATTGATGGGTTAGGAGTCATAACTGAGTTAGAAGTGCAGATGCATCTAAGCCTTTTTTGGATCTCTATCAGTCTGTCCTCACAACCATATGAAACAATTAGTGATGGAAAAGGAGGTTTTTTTGCATGTTAAATGTGAAGTTTGTTTCCACCGGCAGATGTGGCGGCCTGCATGTGTGTCTGATCAAATCCAAGGAAAGATCTTATGGTTTGGATCTCTTTGAAAGTGTGGGTTTATTTCTGGGAAACAGACATTGGGTCATAGGTCATCGGCAGAGTGCATAAGTGCAGGAGTGGAGGACAGTAGCACAGATAGCTGAACATGCTGAAGTAGAATATCTGTGAGACATTGAGTTAAGCCTGGGTGTAGGTATCAGTTTCCTTCTGTTTTTCTGTTTTAAGTGGAGTATTTGCAAAATAATGAAAAAGACTGTGGATCTGATAGGTAAGCCAACAGTACATCCTAACAGAGCCTGACTTCCAATCCGCTGCTCCTTAGAGGATCACATTCGGACATTTTGCAGAGGAATTTACAGCAACAAGAAGGGAAAGGCCTGAAGCAGAGCACTACTGCAAACCCAGGTGTTAACAGTGATATTAAAAAGCCAGCAATGTGTTTACGCGCAGACAGAGTGGCGACTAAAATCTTCCTCACTTGAGGCTAAAATCTAGTTAGCACAAGTTGCACAATACAAATGTAGCAATGATTTATGATACCTGCTTTGTTTCTAAAGCACGACCCATCGGCCAGTCCCCAGCTTTGATTGATGCTCAGCTGCTGGAATGTGGTGCGTTTAATAACACCGTATGACTTCTCTGAAGCCTATAAGATCTAACAGCTGGCAAAGATTCTAGAGTTAGAAACATAAGTCTCAGGTGTCCGCCATGAGGCTCATCATTTCATAACATTTCTTAGAACTGAGTCCTTTTTTAGTTTAAATCTGGCTCCCTGATTTCCTCCCTCTGCTCCTCGTAACAGTGACTCAGCTAACTGTTTTTAAGTGAGAGGGGAAGTGGTGTGTTTTTGTTTTTATTGAGAAACCTATTAACGTTTATGTTTTATCTTATGTGCAGCAAGAAAAATAAAAACATCAACAACAAAAAAAAAAGGTCTACAAAGGAACGCCCCAGAATAAATATCCGGCTGATGGGGAGAACTCCTTATAAATCTAAATATTTGATGTGGTGACAGATTGTTCATTCATTTTATGTAAATGTTTGGTCTTCATAGATTTTGATCATGAAAAGCAGGTTGTGGAGTCTCTGCAGTGATGTAGAATCATTGCCTTGATATTTTCATCAGACACTGATCACTTAGGAAATCTCTATTTGGAATGAATGTATACGTCACTTTTAGTTCTCCACTTACAAATCAGATTTAACGGCTGCTGTGTGATCGTTAAACTCAGTGGGACATTTTTAAAAGTTATCTGCAGCAATCGATTACCTGCTCAGGAAAAAAAAAAGCTTTAAAATGTGTCCTTCTCTCCCTCTGAATGCTTTGTATATTCTTCTCAAAAGGTGAATATTATTAAAGAGCAAGTTCACCAAGCAACTTTTTTTTATTAATTTTTTTTACTTGTTGTTTGTCTTTGAAATATGATCAGTCACTCTGAGTTTCACATGCAGCCTGAAGGTGAAAATAGTCTTCTACCCCATCCCCTGCATTAACCACCAATAGAAAAATAGATAGGGAAACGCTCGGGTCAGTAAAAGCCCCATACGTCGCGCGCTCTGTCACGCAGCACTCCTCCGTAAGAGCGGGGGTGGGGGTGGGGGGGGGGGGGGGGGTTGCACATGTTCTGCACACGTTCTGCTGCTGTTTCTCACCAGTATCAGCTGATGAAGGGCTCTAGTTTTGTTGCGCCATTCATGTCAGTGGACACGGTAGGGTTGGGGAGGGGGGCGGGGCATGACGCTTAGCCTGGCGGGTGGCCAAGCAAAGCCTGGCGGGCCGCCAGGCTTGTAAAGCACTGTGGGAAACCCTGAGCTTGACTCTCCCACATTCCAGTTAGAAGTGACAAAGCTCCTCGGTTGAGAAGTGAAATGTCTTCAAGAAACCAAAGAAGTCCAGTTGCCTTCATTTGGATTAACGATTTTATACAAAAGGAGCAAATTACATTGTGATTGATTTTCATGAAATGCTGCCAAATCCCAACAAGGTTTCTCAGTTTTCTTACAGAGGCCATAGGGCCATTGCTCTCATATTGCCAGAGTTTTGAATATTACAAAATAAAAAAATAAAAAAGATTTTCCCTCAAAATATTTACAGAATGGCCGCAGATATCTTGTATCTGCTTGAACCCTTTACAGGTTAGTTTCTGTGAGATGGAACGTGTAGGAAATATGAACTTTTAGGGTGATTTTGACCTCTGAGCCTATTTGTAAGTAATTAATTTTTTTATATTGCACTCACCACAGAAAGAGAATTGCAAAGTGATTCACAGAGACCAACAACAAAAAAATTAAATCATTCAATTAAAATGCTTTAAAAGAATTACAAAAAATATTATAAAATTTATTAAAATCTGAAACAAAACACCTAGATTCCTCAAGTTTGACTTGATGGCAAGCCACAATGCATGAGCCAATTTGGTCAAAAATCTTAATGAGTAAAGCGGTTGGGAGATTATCAGCAGGGCACGAAGTTGGTTTCATGATTTTTTGAATGAGGCAAAAGTCCTGGAAATTTACAGGAGTAAAGAAGGACCATGATTGGGAAGAGGATGGTTGAATGTGAGAGTAGGAAGTGGATGGGGGTGAAAAACATGCCATGATATTTCTACTTTTATTCTCAAACAATGCTTGAAAGTTGTTAAAGTCAGACCTTGAGAATACAGGCATAAGAGGGGCGTGTTGTGAAACAATCTGGTTTATGGTGTTAAACAATAACTTTAGTTTCAGGAAATCAGCTAAGCAAAGTAGGTGGCCCTGGAATGTGTTGCCATCTCATCCAGATGTTAAAAGTTCTTTAAAATGCACTAAATGGAGACAAAAACAGAAACTCACATTCTGAGTGTAACAAAACGGTCTTGTTTAAAGAAACGGGTTAATTGAACTCAAAATATATGATTTGAATGGCATTCTCACCAATGTGTTTACAAATTTGAAGAATCCTGAACTAAGAAACCAATTCAGTGCGATTCCAACAGAAAATTCACATTTCCTATCAAATTTGTCTCCATTAGTTGCAACCCAGTTAGAAATGGTGCTAAGAGCTAAGCAGATTCTGAAAAAAAGCCTCTTATTCTTGCTCGTGACCTGTCTGCCTACAGAGCTTCTCTGCATTCCTCCTGAAAACTTATCAAATCATGGATTTGGTCAACTGGTCATTCAACGCGATTGACAAGATGTTTTTAATAATGAGAACGGAGCAGGGGGCTCCTACATCTCCAGATGGAACGCACCCAGTGAGGTATATATTGGATTCCAGGAAGGAGTGGACTATTATATTCCTCTCCCAGCTGTCCGCGGAGAACGTCGAAGACGTAAGGAGTTTTGGACTGATAATAACTGGATTTCTTCTGTTTGGAGTGTGAGGATTTCTGGTTTGGAAAATTGTGAATTCAGGGGCGATTAGAGTGCAATCCATATAACCTATAGCTCAAACTGGGGCGTTACTCGAGGTGAATCGCAAGCTAGAGGTTCTAGCTGCAATCTTGGTGTTAGCGTGCAAGATGGATGTGATCTTGGAGAGCGTCACTGCACGGTACGGGCAAGATTAAACCCAAAAATTGGATTAACTGAGAGACTGGAATGATCAGTTAAAAACAAAGGCAGAGAGAGCCTGACCCAAACAATTCTTATCTGAATCTGGCGCCCTGGTAGCCTTGAGCTGCGAGAGGAAGAACCCTCCACGAAGTAATGCAGACAGATGTTGTAAAATCCCGACCTACCCCATGCCTTCAGATTGGTGGTCTAAGCCTGGTGAGATCTACAACTGAAGGAGTCTATGTGCTCTTCACTTCTTTGATCTCCCTCCTACCTGTGTTTCAACTGGGATGAGCGCACAAGGCTGCTGCTCTCCCTGGGGGAAAACAGGTCCAACGGAAGAGTGTCTTCAGTCAGAGGCTTCTTCAGTTTCGCTGCAACACTGACCGCTACTGGAGATCCTCCCTGCCAACAGCCATTGTAATATACAACAACTCTTTGATGACTTGATTACTATTATTCTGAGCTACTACAGCAATCAATTTCCCTCTGGGATTAATAAAGTATTTTTGAATTGAATTGAATTGAAGAGCTTTTGGGTTTACCATGAATAGACATACTGCTATGGGAGAGAGGCTCTATTCAGGTAAATCTTTATGATATGAGACCTTCTTGAGGCCGCCTTTTGGATGAAAGACTAAATGTCTTCAAGAAACAAGAGAAGAAGTATTGTTATGTCCTCCATGACTGGGAAGCTACTCCAGCAAACTTTGCTCCATGCAAATATGTTTAAAATATGTTTTTAGTAACAAGTCTGTACAACAAAATGTTTCATTCTCATCTCCGTTTCTCACTTTAGGTCGCGGCAGTGACTCGGAGTCCGACGGCCCTTTTTACAGGAGGATGCCAGACCTCCATAAAGATGACATGTTGGCTCGGCGGACATCGGTCACTGAGCTGCGAACCGCCATGCCCTTCAACCAGTACCTGCCAAACAAGAGCAACCAAACGGGATATGTGCCAACGCCGCTACGCAAAAAGAGAAATGACAAGGAGGAGGGGGGACGCAAGAGCTGGAGTACTGCAACCTCACCTGTAGGGGGCGACAGGCCTTGTAGGTAAGTGGCACTGTTTGTTTTCAGGTCTAGTTCTTAATTCCTATGTTATTACCCAGAGACCAATGTTGTACTGACTTAATAGTATCTCTTTATTCCGCACAGCTACAAAGAAAATGCAATTAAAACAATGACTTTCCAAAAAGAAAGCTGAAATTCTAACCATTCAGATTAAATAAATGTGGGGATTAAAACCCTGAGCAATGTGGGAGACGGATTAGAAAACAGATCCCTGTTCTTGTGTGTTTATTAGTGTTGGGATTATGTTGTGTAGCAGCAGAAGGTGTCACTCGTCATAGAGCATTTTTCTGGAATGAAACCTTTCAGCTGCTGATTATTTTTCTCTGACGAGTATTGTGCAGTTGGGAGTGGCTGATGGAGACCAGATGTGTGTTTACGTTGGCTCTCAGTGAAGCAGAAGTTTGAACTGTGCTGAATAGTCAAAATTTTAGCAGCTTGGGACAGAAAGGATTACTGGCAGATATTTGTCTGAACTCTGGGTTCAGAAATATCATCATGTGTTCCAAATGGTTAGGGTTAGGCCATCTGATGGACTCCTTAGTGGATCTGGTACTTTTTACTGCTGTTGTATTTTTATTTTTGTTGCATTGACAGACAGCAGTAGGCGATTACAAATGTTTTATTAGAAACCAAATTTCTGCTGCCAATATGTCTCACACCCATGTTGACATTTCTGAAAAGAACAGCGAGCGCTTCTGCACACACTGGGAGATGTGTGAAGTTTGTTGTCTCTTGAGTCGCCCATTGTTTGCAGCTTGAATGGGATTTCCCGTTTAGTCGCCGCGTGTCATCAAATATTTCTATTAATCATTTGTTGTTTTTCATCATCCACATGCTGCCTTTCATCTCTGTGTCGTTTATCATTAGTGTTTGAATTTTTGTCTTGTGATCATCCCGTCATTCTGCTCCTAATTTTCCACCAATATGTTTGTTTTTTCTCTTCTGTGTGACATGATCGAATATCAAGATCCATCAGTCCAAACGCAGTCCCTACCTTAGTCCTCCCACTCGTGGAGTCCCTTAGTCCCTCCCTAGTTGAACCTTGTGCACAGATTCAGGAGAGAGAGAGTGAACAAGAGGAGCAGGAAGAGGAGCAGAGTGCATCAGAGCCTTACATTAGGATCCCTGCAATGGGCCTAAGAAGGAGCAGTGAGCCTCTGCCCTGTAACCTCCCCCAGACCTTCACTGAGTCCCCCAGGGAGACCATAACTCACACGACGGTCACCTCTGAGCAAAGGTCAAACTTTTTACTGCAATTCACCTTTCTAGTCCAGTTTCTAAATTCTACCTTCTCCTAATAGGCCAGATAGTTGGATTGTCACATGATAATTTTAATCAGATGTACATTTTTATCTTAACTGTGTGCTTCGTTTTCAGTGAGCTTTCTGAAAATAAATTAGGTGGATTCTGCATCATGCTAAGATGAATAAACTGCACTGAGTACCTAAACACCAGGAGTTGCCTTTATGGTGTGTGTAGACACCTAAAGTGCAAGTAAGTTTTAGAGGCCGTGTTTAAGTTACAATTTTACAAGAAAACAAACTAGATTAAAGCTATCATATTTCCAAAAATGTGCAGTTTTCCTTGATTTTCGTCAGGTGTGCAGGTTCTTATTTCAGCTCAACTGAAGTTTGGTTAAAGGATCAGTTCCTTCATTAAATAAAGTCTAGTTTTGATCAATCTGTTCAAGATGTTTCTGCTTTCACCATTAATGATCTTTATTTGTGTCGCTCAAAAGGTAAAACTAACAGTGTAATAGAAGATTGTTTATATCATGACATTTATTTGCTAGAAAGTTATTCCAGCTGTTACAGCTGGTGATTCAGTTGAAATGTTTTATTATTTGGCACAGTTGTTATCAAATCAGATTTTCCACTGATGTTAATTTTTATTCAGGAACAGAAAGATCATTTTCTAAATCTACTTAAAGCCATATCAAATACACATGGCCTTTTGTTTACTCAACTGGACAAAGTTTGAACCCATCATCCAACTCTGAGGCACAGATTAGTTATGAATATAAAGTGGCAAGCTGAGCATGATCAGCTGTCAAACTACAATGCCATTTTTTATTTTTTTATTTTTTTATTTTACAACTCTACAGTACATCACATTATTTCTTTTATGGAATGATAATTTTAAGGCCCTTATGTTATTTCATAAGCCAGACTTATCCGGTGGTATTTCCTTTCAAAACTGGTGTTTCATTCACAATCCTTTTGGTTTGTTATTGCCAGTCAGACACACACACACACACACACACACGCACACACACGCACACGCACACGCACACACACACACCATGGCCTTGCTACTTGGGTATACTTGTCAGCATTTTAGGATTGTGTGTGTTCCAAAAAAGCAAGGACAGCTGAGGGATGTTTTTCCAGAACGTTGATAACAACTGCTTTATGTGGATGCACTTAAAGTTGTGGTTCACTTGTTTCATATATTTGCAGTGGCCTCCGATAGGAATATATGCGTTGGAAGTCATACTCAAGGGGGTGTGGGGCTCAGATGCTCCTGTTTCAGCACAGACAATTCAGTCGGAGTAGAAAGTAGCTAAAGGATTTGGAGTGTTATTTCCTGACATTTGGACATCTCTCCTCTGATTGGCTAACAGCAATGCGACTCTTCCACTGAAGCTGTTTGTTTTGCAATGTAGATGTTTTATCTCTACAAATAGCACAAGCCTGGAGGAGTTATGCTGTGTGGTGGAGTCGCTAATGCTAAACGTTAGATTGTACTTGCCGAGACTTTTTCTGCTAGCCTGGCAAGCCAGACTAAATAAATATATTATTTAGTCTGGCCTTGCTCCATTGACGTTGTCGGTACAGGATCTGCTCGGGTGCAAGATCGGCTCGGGGTCCGTCGACTGCCGATGACGTCTAAGTAGTTGATTGGCTGAACATGAACCTTACGGAATTACGTAATCACGTTACGTTGTTATCACGTTACGTTGGTCCAGGCAAATCTTTCTATTGGAAAGATGGACAACTTTTACAAAGAAATCCATCATTACCTCTTTGAAAATACACTTTTAGCATAGAGCTGCATGTATATTAGGGCTGAACGATTAACTGCATGTGCAATTAAATTGCAATGTGACAAAAGGAGATTTTTTAATCTCAAAGGCTTCAATTTGGCAGCGAGTGGTTAGCGCAATGCTAATATACATGGAAAAACCCATAGGAATGCTAATGCTAAAATCGCCGATTACATTATTACAAATTATGAATTAGAAACGTGCCAAATGATTACATTTGGAGTCTTATAGAAAGTAAAAATACCATCAATCAGATAAGTACAGACAGGTATTTTAGTAAAGCCAGGAGATTTTCTAATCTCAAAGGCTGCAATTTGGCAGCGAGTGGTTAGCGCAATGCTAATATACATGGAAAAACCCATAGGAATGCTAATGCTAATATCGCCGATTACATTATTGCAAATTATGAATTACAAACGTGCCAAATGATTACATTTGGAGTCTAATAGAAAGTAAAAATACCATCAATCAAATAAGTACCTGCAGGTTTTTTAGTAAAGCCAGAAAACTTTCAACTCCAGAGTTTTGGCTAGCAGCTACAGTCTATGACAAGACGTCAAAAACTCTAAACACAAAATACTTAAATAAACGGGACACACTTCTTTCCTGCAAATACAATTTCACAGGTGTTGCTAATACCTATGATTCTTCAAGGGATGTGCTCAAAGAGGAGTTCAACATTATGAATAAAATATAGTGTTTTATTTTACAAATACCATTATAAACACAAACTTACGTCTTAAGAAACATTATTTTAATAACGAAAGTGCGAAATTCTTTCCAACAGTATAGATGTGTAGTGTATTTTGTCCGAGTCGGTTTGCCGTACTTTGACGTCATCGGCAGTCGAAGGACCCCGAGCCGATCTTGCACCCGAGCAGATCTTGTACCGACACCGGCTCTCGGTTGTGGGGCGGGTTCTACCGTTGTGTTTCAAATGATCTCCGCATTCCACTGGACAATGAATGTGACATACTCTTGTTTCACTCTGTTGCATCATCCCACCCACCAGGCATATAGAGTGCCCTAATTGGCCCACAAAGCAGATAAAGCTCTGTGATTTGTTCACAAAGCAGATAGAGCACTATGATTGGTCCACCATTATGGACCAATCACACCTCTTTATGAGTTTGAAATCCCCCTAGAGAGCTGTGATTGGCCAGCCAGAATGCTGTTAGGGGCTGCAGAGGTTCCAGTGGAGCGTTCCTAGACCAAACTTTGCAAAGCAAGAATTTGGTCTAGTTCACTAGGCTATTTTTCTGCTGCGTCCTCGACACAAAACCATCAAAAGTCTTCCCTGTCATGAGTCAAGATGGGTGAGCCCATGAATGTTAAGTGACAGTGTGACGTAGATCTCTCAAGATTTTTTTATCCTTGTATTTCACCCTCTATTTCTATCAGAAGCTAATGCAGGGAATGGGTGTAGGGGACTACTATTTTCATGTTCAGCCTGCATGAAAAATCCAGACTGATCAATTAATCATATTAAACTCAGAGTGACTGGGTATTATCAGAAATAATCACATTTTATTTTTTCAGTGAACCACACCTTTAATGTGTTTTGAGAACAATCCTGAATTTATTTAGACTTCTAGCATATCCAAGAGCTTTTAATATTGTTGAAACATGTGTTTATGTGGTGTCAGCACATAGATCCAAGTTAGTTTTTTTGGTCAGATTTGAAAACAAAGTAATAGGAATGCCATCTTGCCACATTGTGGTGTTTGTTAGGCAGCACTTTATATAATGTGCATAAATAGCTAAAAACAGGAAAAAAATGATTCAATAGAAATGCAGCTGCGTAAATAAACACATTTCATGTATTAGAAAGTCATACAACTTTTTCTGTTTCTCTGAGAAAGAACGTGAACATGTGACCCACCCTCAGGATGTGAGGAAATGAGGCCCTCTTCCGTCCCTGACCCTGAACAGATTGGGACTGAAGTCTGATCCTCTCACTGCCAGCACCTGGCCAGCTGCTCGCTCCCTGCTGAGCATTCTGGGAGTTAGCACTGCAATAATAATCCTCCCACAAAGTGACTGTTTATCACAGGGTGACAAAACATTATAGTGTTGAAGTGAATTTTGGTGTGACTCTATGACACCAGGCTGCTGTGAAGAGATCTGAAAGTATGCAACATTTCATTTGATTTATGTCCTCCAAAGGCTCCACATTCAGGCGTTGCCAGAGAATTGTTGTCTGATTATATAGGAAGACATCAGGCAGCAACAAGGTTTAGTTTTCTTTGCTCTCTGCAGTACTCCGACTCGCTCAAGCTCAGAGGAACTCATCCCATGCTTGACGGCTCTAACGCTGAAGACTAGCAGCACAGCTGGGAAACATCTGACTGCAACAGACCAGAAGGTTACATCAGCCACAGGTTCAGATGGGGATGATAGACCAGCCTGTCTAACTCTGACCTCACCCAAATACACTCAGAGTCCATCTGACTTCCTTCCTGTGCCCACTGCCATGGCAACCACTTCATCAGAATCAACTGGTGCAGGCCGACGGGATGGAAAGGATCTGAGTGAAAGAGAAGACCCACAGGAAGAGAAACCTTGTTTGGGCTGCAGTTTTCCAGCAACGTGAGCTCAGCCCTGCAACCTACTCATAGTTAGCCAAAATATCTTTGAGCTGGAAAGTCTTGATTTGCATTTAGAGCCAGAGAGCTTCTTTAGTGATCCCTGAGTACTTTCTATCAGCATGGACATTGACCTGAGCGTGCTCTGCTTCCGCTCAGATGACGTGTACATTTCTGCAAACTGCATGATCTTCTAAACATGAACGTAGACTGCAAGGGCTGCATAAAACCACTAAATGCATGAAAGCTCGATGCTCTGGACGGATTATGTTCCCTGTGTTCTGCTAACTTAAAAAAAACACATTTAAGGGTGCTTCCTTTTGTTTCCCATCAGGTGACACAAGGGCATAATTCTAGGCCACAGTCATCAACTCTGTAGACAGCAGGGTGATGTATTTTAGAGTTATTGAATGTACATTTTTTTAATGGATATCAAACTGAATCCAAACATAAAACACTTAAGTGGTGGCTTCAGTGTATATTCCTGTTTGATTATCGTGCAACCAAAAGGAAATAGCCCATGCACATTTTCTGTAAAAAGCTGCATCCTCACCGCCGCTGCAAAAGACAGTCGATCTGCTCTAAATTTCCGGGAGGATTCTCTTAATTTAGTCATTGTTTTATCTCTTGTGGGACTCGACCACAGGCTCTCACACCCCGTCCAACATTAGAGGCTGCACTGCAAAAATAAACTGTGTGAAAACCTTTTGTGGTGGTAGCCAAACCTCTAAGTGGTCTCGGACAGAGAAGGGAGCCACATCTTTGATGCTGAACTGATGAAAGATGCATGTGCTTTTATAAAGAAAATGGACATTTTATTATTGGCTTCTTTTTTTTAAAAAGATTGTTGCCAAATGCACCTTTTTGTATGCTGGTTGTGTTTTGGTTTGATGCGCTGCAGTGAGCTCTGCTCTGGCTGTGTTTTGACTAAGACTGCCCCCTTGTGTCTGATTTGGGGGATCTCATTGATCACCCAAAAATCCAGATTCACTTTATTTGAAATTTGAAATTTATTTATTTAAAGGATAATCCCTTGAGATGCAACATCTGGTTTTCAAGGGGGTCCTTAAACGTCCTTTAAGAATGATAAATCACACAAAATCAACCTGTTTTCTTTAACGAACACACTGTGAGTACAATGCTATATTTTAATCTTAATCTAACAAAATTAATACATTTCCAATTAGCATGAGATTATCTGTTTGTCCCCTCAAAATGTTGCATTCATTTGTCTTTGTGTGTGTTCTCCATGGTTTTCTCTCTCTTGTTTTGTATTTTCAGCCACACAGGTAGTGTGTCAGATGGCCCGCAGTAAGTTATCCCATTAACACAGAATAGATCAGAGTAATTTGGAGTCAATTTTGCAGTTTCAAAATCTGAAATAGTCCAATAATATTTGATTTATTCATTCATTTATTGTTATTATTTATTTATTTTTTGCTGGTGAAACAAATTTGCTAATAGTTTTCTCCTCTTTCATGGATTAAAAAAAAATGCTGATTTTTTTCCGTGAGTTTCCAGGTGCATTTGTAAAACAGTTAAACGCCATCAGTTGTTTCTTTTACCACATAAAAAATATGAAATAATAATTTTTCAGTTGCCTCTGTTTTTGTGTCAATCTCGAGCAAATGTTACTAATTTGTTTTAAAGAGATGACATCAGCAGAATCAGCAGAGTTATTCTCATTAATATGTTTTATTGTTTAGATGAAAGCAGCGTAATCATTTTAGTATGGCTGCACTTTGCGCCCTGCCATGTAATTTATTGAAACAATTAGTTCTGTTGTTTTTACAGACGGTTTCTCTAACCAAGCTTAAAGTATAAGTCCTCAAAGTCGACTCTTCCTCCAAATCTAATTATTTCCAGTAGTCATTTTTCTTTTAGGCTTAGCCTCTCTTATCATGCTCTCAGTAATGATAGCAATTTATCTTTTTATTTCTTCTTTCATGAAAACATAATGTGGGGAAGACAGCACAGCCTGCCGGTGCGTAGATGTATGAGGTTTAAAATTAGTTGTGTTCATTCTCTTTAATTGCACACTATAAATAGACTGGTTTAATAGCTGCAATAAACCAGCAGCAGTTTATGGAGTAAAACCTTCACAAGTGTGGACTGTTTTTCAGCGATGCCTCCCAGAGTCGGTGGTGGTTGTGGGAAGAACGTATTTAGCTTCTGCTCGTCTCTCTGCCAGCTGCATGCGGGGAAACACAAAATCAACATTTCTTTTTTTTAACTAATTCACAAGAACATAGGGTTTGTTGCTTTGTGAGTTCGCACCAATTCAGCTACTGCGACGCTCCTTTATTTTTTACTAATGAGCTTCACAATTGACATCAGAAGGTTAAAGCTATTGTTGTTTTCTAATATTGATTAGTGTGTCGACTACATTTGCTCATTTACCTAATTAAATGTGTTGTTCAGTGTTTTTCATCATGCGTATTCTTCGTCTCCATTCCTTCTATCTGCAGGAGTTTGAGTATGATCGACATGCGTGATGAAGAAGAGGTCATCCTGCATCCACATAGTCAGGTTCGTCATGAGCTGATGCACAACCATTACAACAAACTGAAGGAAGAGGAGAACCACTGGCAGGACGTAAGTGTCTACCAACTTTCTCAACTTATCAGTGAAGCAGCTGGGATTTAATGGGTATATTTATTCTAAGGTTGACTACTGAATCAATGTTTTTAGATCACAGCAGTTCTGCAGGTTTCACAGCTGCTGAGCCAAGCCTTGCCTGTAATATTTTGAGTGCGCTTGTGTGTTTGGGCTGTTAGGACCTTGCGCGATGGAAAAGTCGGAGGAGGAGTATTTCTCAGGATCTGATTAAAAAAGAGGAGGAGAGAAAAACGATGGAGCGCCTGCTGTCAGGAGACAGCTGTATCTCTCAGAGGAGAAGAAGCATCAAAACCTACAGAGAGATCGTGGAGGAGAAGTAGGTGACATCCACGAAACAAATGAGAACAAAGTTAACTGGTTTTCTGTGGCAAGGTCTTCCTGGAGTTTGACTACATTGCCTAAGGGGTGGGTGGCTTGTTTTCTTGCTAGATAAGCAAGATGGTGGATGTGGTGGACAACATTGGGTTCCACCCACTCGGATCCACTATGGGTAATAAATAAATCTAATAATAACATAATGACTCTGACTCTCTCAGGTTACTTGTTTAGGAGTCTGTTACTCTGGCTGCTGTTGGCTGTAACCCACACCTTACAACTTCTTCACTTATCCACAGAACAGTTCATAACACTACTGTCGCTGATCAGAACCTGAAAACAACCTTTCTGCCTGCTAAACTCCCCTTCAAAATGAAACATCCATCCATCCATTTTCATCCGCTTATCCGGAGTCGGGTCGCGGGGGCAGTAGCCTAAGGCGAGAGGCCCAGACTTCCCTCTCCCCAGCCACTTGGGCCAGCTCCTCCGGGGGAATCCCAAGGCGTTCCCTGGCCAGGTGAGAGACATAGTCCCTCCACCGTGTCCTGGGTCTACCTTTAGGCCTCCTCCTGGTTGGACGTGCCCGGAAAACCTCACCAGGGAGGCATCCAGGAGGCATCCTGACCAGATGCCCGAGCCACCTCAACTGGCTCCTCTCGATGTGGAGGAGCAGCGAATCTACTCCGAGCCCCTCCCGAATGATCAAGCTTCTCACCCATAACATCAGTTTCAGACATGTCCTGCCGGCAGGAGGCCACCGGGTCGACCCAGGACACGTTGGAGAGGTTACATCTACAATCTGGTCTGGGAACGCCTTGGGGTCCTGCCGGCTGGTGGAGGTGGCTGGGGAGAGGACTGTCTGGAGCTCCCTAGTTGGGATGCTGCCCCCGTGACCTGGACCCGGATAAGCGGAGGAAAATGACGACAACGACGTTTAAACTTGAAAATTGTCCCCGAAGTAGCTGCTGGCTTCTGATCCACTGTCCTTTTGAAAATACTGCGGTGTATTCTGGGTAATTTTTGGCCAAGGCTAGACTACAAGACACCTCCCGTGTATCCTGGTTCAGCTAGCTAAACGGCTAACAAACAGAGAACACACACCTCGGTAGAACATGATCATTGGAACACGTCCTGGCAGCTCCCGATGACGTATCTCCTAGGCAACCGGGGCGGGGCCAAGACATCAAGGCAAGGTTCCTTGGCATTGAGAAACACCTGGAGAATTTTGTGGTAAGCAGCAGTGTGCTAACCGATGGCCCCCTCTATGAGGCTACCACAGCTCAGCAGAAAACTCTTGATGATCAGTGATCAGAAGCAAAAGACCTGACTAAAGCATCCCTAGATTTAGCACAAATAACCTCATCAACATGTTCATGATGGACCTTAGGACAATTATAACAGGAAAACAGTTATATTACCCTTTAAGAGATTAAAGCTTTTTTCCAGAGTATTTCTCTTATCCGATGGCACCATCTAGTAGCTGACAAACCTGTAGAGGGGTAATTGTTGTATGTATTTGGGTGCTTTTAGAGCTTAATATACTACTCTACACTTTGACCAATGTGATGTGAATTTCCATATAAATATGGGAATCCAGTCTGATTGGTCTTTAATGTTTAACCAGAAGATTTAGAATTCTTTGTTTATTCAGGGATTACAGAACACTTCGTATGGATTCAAGAAGAGAGTCAGATTTATAAAAAGTAAGAATTTATTTTCCAAACAATTAAAACATGACAAGTTACAGTGGGGCAAAAAAGTATTTAGTCAGCCACCGATTGTGCAAGTTCTCCCACTTAAAATGATGACAGAGGTCAGTAATTTACATCATAGGTACACTTCAACTGTCAGAGACAGAATGTGAAAAAAATCCATGAATTTAAATGGCAGGATCCGGCAGATTAAAGGCCACAAATGTAGACTCCTGTCTCCATATGACCAGATACTGAAGGGGTCAAACTGTACATGAAAAACTGACCATCTCTGGACATTACAAGCATATCACACTCTTTCCATTTTTTTAAGATGGCAGCTTCACATTTCTGTTTATAAATGTCCTTCTGTAGTCGACCAATAGGGCTAAAACACGTTGTTTTACGAGTATTATTCTCATGCGCTTATTATTCTTATTATGTTGTGTTCTCATATATTTATATTTTAGAGACTTTCTCATCCGTGAAAAGTTCATCAACTGCATCAGCCGAGGTAGTCCTTAAATTTGAACTAGCTAAGCGGTGGTCTAACGCTATTGGTTAGTTCTGGTTGGCACTCAGTTTCCTATTGCATGGAGCTCTGCGGGGTAGGGGGCGTGCTTAGCAAAAAACAAAAAAAAAGGCGTATTGCTTACATTATATCCCAGTACATGATAAGATAATCACTTTTACGGATTTCTGACAAGTCATACATAATTTCTGAAAGCGGAAAACTCCGGAAAGATACTTAAGCCAAGAATCTTCATGCTTGTTTGAAAAGGTTTTAGGCTTTCTGTCAGGTAAAGATTAAAAGACAATGCAAGAATCCAAAGAGATAAACTTTTATCAGTAATTGATGCATTAATTTATTTAAATGGTTTTTGTTTTTTTAACAAGGGAGCGGCGTGAGGAGGAGCTGCGACAGGCATACAAAAGAGCCAGAAATCCAGAGGAGGCGTCAGCCATCCTCCAGCGTTATGCCCAACGTTTCTCCATCAGCGAGTCGATCCTGGAACGTCTACAGCTACCAAAGCTCCTCGACCGCAGCATATCTGCTGACCCTTTCTTCCCCATATCCTTGACACCCTCCCCCACAACTCCAGACCCATTTGACATGGACTTCGACGGGTCTTTGAAGTATCTGCGCCAGCAGTCGGCCCCAACTCCAAAGTTTACATCCTTGTTGGAGGCGCAGATAGAAGAGTTTCCTAAAGACTCCTCCTCACAGCAGCGGCCTCAGATCCGCTCTCGCTCCTCTGATCCGCCGTCCACACGAGCTCTGTCCCCCACACCTGTGGCTTTGTTGACACCCAAGCCTTACTTCCAGCCCCGTCCCTCTCCTGCTGACAGCCGGAACAACAAGGTGAGATTCTCTTAGTAATGAGACATTTAAAAATATCCCAATGTTTAGGATTTGAGAAAGTAGTTTGCACTAAATAAGTAAATCCTTTCAACGAATCGTTCTTCTCAGATAGATCAAAGGTTTAGATTTGTTTAGCGTAACAGTGTGGGAGGCCTTTCCCACTTTTCCCTGTGGTTACTTCAGAGCCGGCTGCTCATCTGGTGGGGAAATCTCCCTGCTGCTCTCTTGGCATTTACAATAGAACACCAGAGTACTGCCTTGGTGCTGAGCAGCTGGTGCATCGGAAAACACTCGACTTCTCCTCCCTAAGGAAGCATGTAATGTTTCAATTTAGCCCATAGGACCCTCGACAGGATTCATTTCCTATTCTTCTGCAAAATCAAATGAGTATAATGAAACTGAGATCTTATGGATGGATGTGGAGTGAAGGGTGGGCAGGTGATTAACAGACGTACTACAGGACAGCGCTTTTCTGGAATTCCCTGTAAGAAGTCCAGGTTTGAATGAAGCCCTCTGTTCCCTATTGACTTAAGATGTTGACAAGTAGGAGCCTCTCAATGTGAAGTGGGCTCCCAGCGGACAAAGATAGCCCACACAGGCTGTCAGGAGCAGGATGAGAAGGTGCAGGCAGAGGGGGGCATTTACCCAGCTCTACCAGAGTGTCGCAAGCCAGCTGGGTAGGATGAGAAATGAGGACAAAGGAACACTTTTAGGGATGGTTTGAGGTTTAATTAGGGAAAACCGGTTCTGATTTCAGTCTGGTTTGCCTGATTGCTACTCACAAATAATAAGCATGCTGTAGTTGAAGCATTCTAACCCAGGTGGATGGTTCACTCAGAGTAAACGATGACATCAAATCTGACATTGTTTCTGTAAAGCCTGAGAGCCATGAAGAGGAATCACCTCCCCGTTTCCAGGCGTCTCCTTCCAGATCCAGAAACCGCCCCGAAGGCACGCTCTCGTCAGAGGACTCACCTGTTCAGCATCCACACACCGGCCAAAAAAAGACTGATGGCACTCAAATTAGCGTAAAGGCAGCATCTCAAGATGTCCAGGAGGAGAAAGTCACTGAGCACTTAACACCACCCAGCCGGCCCACTTCTCTTACAACGGTCAGACATTTTCTATCATTTACCATCAAACTTTTAGGTCAACTATTTAATTATAGCCTGGCAAACCATCCTGTATACATACATATAATTTGACCATGACCCATAGGCAGAGCCAAGTCATGGAATCTGAGGTGATCTTTCAAACTGTCTCAACACGCAATTGGACAGCATCAGGACCAGTCAGAGCATCATGAACAACATGACGTATTTTATTGCCATGGAAATCAGTCAGCAGAGCAGTCCGCCACACAATAACTAAGAAGAAGCAAATACATATATTTTTTTTAAATAAATTACTTAGATACCTCTATTTGCTTGTCTCAAAAAAAAGGCCAAGTCTTAATCGTCCAAAACTGATGCCGTTTCTGAGCCGACACCATTTTTGTAGTTTATCATTGTCACAGCTCTAGTGCTAAGTCCAACCATCAAACGTAGAGCGCTGATTGGCAAGACGTGCTTAGGCTACAATGGAGTGTGGCTAGACCGACTTTCAGAGCTTTTTATTTATTTATTTATTTGGTACAGTTTCTCTAGTATTTTAGCCTAATTTAATGAAGTTACATGTTTAGAATACGTGGAAATTTAAGTTAGTGCAATGTTTTTCTTTGTTCTTACTTTATCTTTCAAATGTTAAATAATCTGTGGCTCTTGCAGGAGCTGCAGAAGCATAAGGAAAGCTTCAGAAAGACTGAAAGCCAGGATTCTTTGGAGGAAGTAAAGTCAAACACTGCAGTTGAAGAGGCGCCACCTGCAGGTCTGAGCAGCACTTTGCAACACTGACATACTGTTTTTTGAAGAGAATTTCATTGACGACTGTAATTTGTGTGAAAGGTAAATTATGGAAAGTGCATTTTTGACATTTGTTACATGGTTGTTTTTTTGTTTTGTTTCCCCCCCCCCCCCCCCCCCCCCCCCCCAGATGCCAAACAAGAAGACGAAGCTAAACGATCCAGTGAAAAGCTCATCCCACCAGGGATTAACACACAAAATACCTTCACAGTGAGACAGATAAAAATACTTATAAAAACCTGTTTACAGTGCTATAGTAAAAGTCATGTTTCCAACGTAGAATTTTAAACATCCTTGTAGACGCAAGTCCCCTTGTCTCAGGAGCCCTCGCAGAGAATGGAGACAGCGCCCCGCTCCGCTGCACCTGCCCCATTTGGACATCACTCTCCAAAGGAAACATCAGGTGAATTAGCGTCCTAATGTCCACCTACAAAGCTAGCTTCTTATTGTTGCCTCTCTTTGTTTCTAAAATTAGAAAAATTGGGTTTTTTTGCTGGTTATTTTTCTTTTTCCCTCTTAGCATGGCCTTAATTCTGTTATAACATCATGAATAAAACACTTCATCATCCAAGGACTTTTTATTATGGTCTACATAAATGATTTAAAATTTTAATTGACTTAACGTCAGGTCTGCCAGGGGCTAAGAGTCCAAGAAGCAAATCAAGTAAATCGTTTTTTTTAAGTAGGAATGGATTTTTCTACAAAATGTACATTCATGTTAGATCCCAATTCTATAAACAAGCTGAAGTTCTAAAATGTAGTTAAAACTTAAAACAGGTCCCATTTTTATTTTGTTTCATAATTTTTTCTATCCAGCTCCTGACCTTTGATATGTTTCCCCTCATTCTTCCCCCCCCCCCTGCCCACCCCAATTTCAATAATTTTGATTTCATTAGACTCTGAGATCAGTGTCAGGTCTTCACAGACATCCAGCAACCCTAAGTCACGTTGGGAGTTCTTCGGTCCATCAGGTAAACATCGAGGGAGATAAGAAATCTGCTCTGAAGTCCGTTTCGGTTTTATTAATGCAGCATTGAAAGTAACATCGTCCCAGACCACTAGGCAAAAAGGCAAATGTAGGAATCTGCATTTGGTTCTGTCTAATTTTCATGAAAGTACATACCCTCCAATTAAGTGCTGTTATAATATATTTCAAAACAATCACGTTCAGTCAAAGGTCGAAGGCAACAGAGTGCATCAGATCTTCACTTGGAAACAATCCCCCCATCCTGAGCAAGCACAAGGGGACAGTGGAGAGGAATGAGTCCTTTTCAACAGGAAGGAACTGGAACATGGATAATCCTGTATAGAAGTAGCTTGTTGATTAAGAAAATGATTTGTTTCCATGACAAGTAAAAGAAGTAAAATACAAGCCCACTTTAGCAGTCTGGACTCTTGATTCAGCCCTAAAAATAAAAGTGTCCTACACCTATCTCTTGCTTTAGCTTCTGATAGAAAATAAATGGTGAAATGCTAGGATGAGAAAAGCCTGACAGGTCTATGTCACGCTGTCACTTGACATTCATGGACTCACTCATCTTGACTCACGACGGGGAAGGCTGTTGTTGGTTTAGTGTCCAGGAAATTGCAAAGAACATCTTGTCTAGTAGAATCTAACCGTTAGCATTAGCAACTCCACCACGCAGCAGAATTCCTTTAGGCTTGTGTTTTTGTGGGGATAAAACATCAATGTTGCAACACAAACTGACTCCGTCTAATGCAGTTATCTCCTGCATTAGCTTCTGATAGAAAATGGGTGGTGAGATGCTAGGATTTGAAAATCCTGACATATCTATGTCACACTGTGAATTTGCATGAATGGCCTTGCACATCTTGACTCACGCCCACCCACAGGAAGGCTCTTTTTATTTTTATTTTGTAGCATGGAGAGAAAGCAGAGAGTGTCTTGGTGATAGTGACTTTGCAACAGGGCTGAATGTGTTCTGTTAGCCAATCAGAAGCGAGGTGTGTGCATAGCATTAATAATAATGGGTAGTCCTGCTGTTTACAGCCCACCTCTGCACCAGCAAATGCCTGCATCTCAGAACAGGAGCATCATAGCTTTTTTAATGACTCATAAGGCATTGATTTACACTTATAGAACACTACAAATGTGTTGAATAAACAAGTAAACCACACCTTTAGAACTACCAGCGCCCCCTCAACTCAGAAAGGACATACGGGAATGGATGATGGATGGATGGATTTTGGGAGTTTTTTTTCTTATAAGAGTAATTTTAGTTTATTTTTCATTTACTAGAAGCCAATAAAATACCTGTATGTCTTATGATGAATGAAATTTTACTTTATTATGACTTTTTTTTCTCATGTTTTACTCATGTTGCTGAACTTTGTGTAAATGTTTCTGTATTCAGATTATCTGACCTCTGGTATCACAATGTTTGTTGGCTTTATCTGATCCTCATTTCCTTTTCTCTACAGAAGATTCAGAGAAGGACTGTCGAACAGTTGTGAGTAAAACACATTTGTCTGATTTCCTCAACGCTTCTCATCTGGCTAATCACTTCTAGCTGTGCTGTTCTAGTCAAATGAGATCTGCACATTGCATTTCTAGAAAACACATGTAAATGGACAAAGTGCAAAACAGAAAAACGGCCTTAACTGCTTGATGGATTCATTTGAAGAGTACAACACATTAGACTAGGACAGGCTGCCGATAATGTAGTTGATGTAATTTGGAAGAAAAAAGTAACAATATTCCTTATAAATGACTCCTTGTTTGTTTTGTGAGAAAATGGCCAAAACCACTTTTGAGAGGAAGGAGAGACGATACGATACTAAAAGTCAGATGCAAATTTTAAGACAGAATTTGACTGGAAAACTCAGGCCAGACACTTTATCGCGAAATCTCGTTGTTCTGTCAGAATGAAGCGGTAAAAACTGCTGCCCACTAGCATTCAAACTTTGAATTGCACCCCAAAAATGAAATACAGTAAATGTTTGCATGCAAATTCTCAATAAAAATCGATGTCCTGCGCTGAAATATTGATTAAGTATCATACTACTAAATATTGTGATATTTCAGTGTATTAATATTTTCTTACATCCTTAGACGTGATTATAACAAACAGGTTAAAAAGCACCTGTCACCCTGATAGACACATCACAAACTTTCAGCAGGAGGCTTTATGTTCACACTTTATTATTGTTTAGTAAAAAAAAAAAAAAAAGAAAACAGATTGTTTAACTTTCCTAAAACTTGAGTCTGAATGCCCGTGATATTTTCTGATCAAATTAGATATTTGGGATGATTTGTGTTTTATTTGCTCAGTTTCAGTTAGGCCTGTATTATGTTGTGTTGTACAGAATGGCACTGAGCTGTAGGTGTAGCATGTCAGATGAGAAAGCTTCTCTTTTTTATATTCACACTCATCTCTCTGTTTCTGTCTTCTTTCTTCTTAGTAGGAAACCGTTGGCTAGCTATGGAGTAGTGCTGTTGTGGTAGACCAAATATTTCTGTCTCTTTTCTCTTCTTTTTTCTGTGATGGACGTGTGTGTGTGTGTGTATTGATCTATGTATGAACGGGTTGTGGGTGTGTATATGTGCATGGATTATGTTGTGTGCATGTGTGTGTATATTTGTACGTGTGTTGGGGTCTATCAGGTGTCAGTGCCGGTGTTGCCCCAGGCCAGGCAGGGAAACCGCTGGTCTTGGGACCCGGATGAGGAGCGAAAGCGTCAGGAAAGGTGGCAGCAAGAGCAGGAGCGCGTGCTGCAGGTACACGGCATATGTTAAAGGATGAAGCTGTGGCACATGATTGTTTAGGTTAGTTTGTTATTTTGGTAAGAAACACAGAGTGCAGAGACGAGTTTGGAAATAGTCTATTGGTTTGTCACAAGTTTATATTCAAACATGTTTAAGAAATAGTAGAATATAGGTATCATCAACAAAAACAAGTATTTATTTTATTTAAGAGACTTGTTTCATACTGAAATTTTGGCTGAGACTCAGTTTATAACATTAAAGTGACACTACACTTTCCCACTACTGGTGGGAAGTGGAATTACAACCGTCGTAAACAACCCTGCCGCAACCTGCTGTAGCTATCGCTAACAACAAGCTAACGCAAACTCGATCCAACTGATGCTAAATAAACCACAAAAGCAAACATATAACACAATCCAAATAAAGCATAAGCATAAATGCCTTTTCATTTTCTCTGTACAACCGCCAGTTTTGATTCATAAATGAAATAATCCACACTCTCAGACTATTATTTACAATTCCAGCAGCAACAAAGCCAGGTCACCATCAATCCGTGATTTCATAGCCTCCTTTAGCTCCCTCAAACTAAATGACCCTCATTTGTATAGCACCTTTTAGAGTCGGAGGACTCCAAAGCGTTTTCCACTACATTGTATCATTCATCCCTTCACACACATTCACACGCTGACTGATGAGCAACATTGTAGCCACAGCTGCGCCGGGGCACACTGACAGAGGCAAGGCTTCCGAGACACCACTGACCACCACCAGCAAGCAAGGTGGGTTAAGTGTCCTTCCCAAGGACACAACAGCAGAATTCTCTGCCGGGAGTCGGGGTTGAACCTGCAGCCTTTCGATTACTGAACAACCCGCTCAACCTGTTGAGCTACTGCTGCCCAGCTAGTGTGGACCACACCGATGTTCTCTCTGATTATAGCACTTTGTTTCACCTCCAAAGACACTATTCCCTTACTTTCACTTCCAAGCTCCACTATGGTGCCAAAAGAAGCTAAATTCTTTCTTTTTCTTCTTGTGCTTTTTATTGGCGGTTGGCTAACTGAAGAAGCTAACTCAGCCTTTATATTAGCCACTGTCACTGTAAACAGCCAATGGTCGTAGTGCACTTACCCGTCACACAAAACTGTTAAGTGCAGTTTCTGGTCAGCAGGGGGCAACTCAGTGCTATATAATGTGAAGTTGGTAAAGTTTCTACCTACAGAATCACTGAAACCCACTTTTGAAGGAACAGCCTAAAATGTAAAAGATGAAAAATCTAAAGGAACAAGGCAGTAGGTCGCTAAAGAGGACATTTTACAAACAAGTAGGGCTATTCGATATGGCCTAAAATCAATATCACGATATATTGAGGATTTCACCTCGATAACGATAAATGGACTATAACTACAGGTATGCACAGAAACAAAAGTTGTCCACTACATGGGGCTGTCACATGTATTACGTTAAGTCACATTTTTACGTGACCCAAGGTGGTACAGCTTCTTAACTCATTCACTGCCAGCCGTTTCCTGATCGCTAACGGCCTTCGCTGCCAGCGTTTCTCACTGTTTTTACTGTTTTTTTAAGAGTCACAGAACGTTGCGCGCTAGGATGATGTCGATGCCAAAACAACCAAAACAAAGAGGAGACTCACCTCTTACATCAGGAAGAATCCGTGTGTTTCGAGCATTATCCATTCTTTCATAATCTGTTGTTGAATTGTGATCGGCAGACGCTTTTCCGGTTCGCGCCTCACTTTTTTTTTACAGGAACAGCCCAAAACGATCTCCTAATACATGGATGGTCTGCTTCCTGATCATGTGACGTGTGACGTATGCGGATGAAGATCGGCTTCAGGGCTGAGATGCTTGTTCTCTCAGCGCGGGGGCTCGTTCCAATGCTCAAACAGTAAAAAAAATGCAAATGACGACTTTAGTCGCCATTGGCAGTGAACAGTTGGATCTAAAATGACGACTTTAGTCGTCAATGGCAGTGAATGAGTTAAAGGGACATGAATGTTGCCAACCTACATACATCTTTTCATTTTTTTACTATCACATTTATTGACATGGGAAAAATGATCTTGATAAGAGTCAGAAATTTCGATAATGATAAATTTTCGATTAATTGCAAGGTAAAACAAACTCTGGCTTTCTATTAACCTCAACAGGCATTAATCACTGATGGCTTTGTTAGAAAGCCAAAGCCACCACCTCACTGGGCTGTGACTCTTGTGGGTCAGTTTAAAGCACAAAGTTATGATGAAATATGTACATTTTAAACTGGAATCACTCTGAATTTGTAGGTGAAACACTAAGGTATACATTCATTTTATTAGTTTTTTTTTTTTTTTTTTTGGTGTGGCTAGGTCACATTGGACACTATTCAACTGTCAGGCACATTTTCTTGCCACGGTTTTGTTACATACTGGCTTAATTATTTAAACTTTTTTCTTCAATATGCTTGCTATTTATCCTCATGTTATAACCAGTTTGATTGCTAACCCCTCCCAACATTATCTCACATTTTGACTGACATAAACAAATACCCTGTAGCTGGGTATCCCACAGAAGGAAGAAATTTTCTACAGCTTGGTCTGTCATCCGCTTGAATGTGAAGATAAACGGCACCTAAAATTATTCTTTCAAAACCCACCAAACAGAGTAGAGATTTGCGAATTGTGGACATAGATAACCAAGTTTTTAGCTTTTGCAACATCACTGGCCCAGGACAAAATTCTGTAACATCACATGTGTGACCTGTGATTACAAGCTTAGTTACTGATCTATGTAGAAGACCACAGGTGAAGGATGGCTTTAATGAGCAAATTGCAAGTTAGACAAGTTGGAGACTCCCATGAACCAATGTTTAGAGAAACATAATAGAAACTACATAAAAAATATTTTTTTTTACACATGCATTAATTATTTAGGCTTTCAGAGTAATTTTTGTGAGTGAAGTTTTTTATTTTTCCCAAACCAAGTGATGTCAGCTGAGGGAGTCCTGTTAGCTTAATCCAGAGAAAACTATGGATTCTAAAGCCAGCTCTGACACAGAGGAAACTTTAAATTTTTATAATTCTACTTCTGATGGACCAAAACCATAAAGTTATGAATTTGCTGCACGCCCCAGAGAGCAGAGATGAACCAGAGGGAGAAACCATTGGCCAAAGTAGAGAGGTTGAGGAGAAGCAGCGGGGGAGGAGCTCGTGAGTTAACTATGCTAGCTTAAACTTGTGTGCTAACATCACAATATTATACAGATTACTACCATGTACCAGACAATAAAATAGTATCGTCAGTTAGTATAATATTAATACTAATGAGCGTCTGTCAGCTGTCTAATACTCGTTAATATCCGTTCATGTAACGTAGTTTAGCGCTTAGAGAGAGAGACGCCTGTCATCAGGGTCTGGAGCTCATGTGGGCTTCTGAAAGCTGGATCCGACCCAGAAACCAGCGTGACTGGCCCGCTGAGCCGCAGCGGCTGGTGGTCAGTTCGGACCTGGTTCTGGCGGTGATCTGAGTTCCAGAAATTTACATTTAATTTTTTAAACCTCGCCATGGGTCTCCGGAGCCCAGCGCGGACCTCCCTGTCCCGGTACCGACCGATGTGGTCCACAGCAGTCCGTCTTTTCAGCTGCACAAAACGCCCTCAGGCACAGAGATAGAGGCGTTGTTTCTCTTATCTGGAAACCTGTGGACTCGATGTCCAGACAGGCTGGAGTTGGTACAGCCTTCACACACTATAGTTTATCAAAATGAACACAATCCAACACTAGTAAACACACACCGGCTCGATAACATGACCCCTCTAGCCTAAAACTACCCACTTTCCACACTGAGCTGAGGCAGCACCTAGCTTCTAACGCCCTTTGGTTACGTCAGAGGTTCAGATTTAAAAAAAAAGAGTATTTTGAGAAGCTTTGCTGAGAAAGGCCACTTTTTACTAGAAAAACTGCTGTTATATATTTTCCAATCCAATCCAATTTTATTTATAAAACGAAATATCCACAGTAAGCATTTCAAATAGTATTTTTGAACAGCATTTTATATGAATTAGAAAAAAAAATTTAACCAGCAATTTGCTCTTTAAGAATGATTCTTTCCTGCCATCTTGTTATTCCATATCCAAGCAGTGCACGGCCTGAATTCAGAAGAGTTCCAAATTAATTCCCAATGAGAAAATCCATCACAAATCTGAGACATTTAGAAAACAAATTCCACTCAGTTTCTCACCAACCCAGCTTTATATGGCTCTAATTGGCTAACTGGAAATAAAAAGATTGTCTATGACTTTCATTAGCCCAAAGACACTAGAAACGAAATTTAACTGTATGAGGTTAAATAAATTTTACTGTTTGAGGTTGATTTTTCTGCATCTAAGGCAAACCATGAGGAACACATCTGAAACACAAACGTTGAAAATATTCCATTTTACATATTAATTATTCACATTTCATTGCTGTTTACTTACTCCCTCTCATAATAGTTTTATTTTGAACACATTCTGCCCTGCTCCTTTATGCACGTTTGAACCACTAGATGGCAGGTTTGTGCAGAGGAAGAGACTCCATTTTGCTCTCCGTGCATCTCCGTTTTCATCTCATGCAGATACTCAAAGTGAGACTTTGCTGCTGTTGCTGCTTCCCAAATCAGCCTCTCTCTCCTCAGCAGGAATCAGTGCATCTCAACATTTTTAAGCATCTAAACAGCAAGTGGTGTCTAACACTGACTCCTCTGTTTGACTATGTTAAATAAAACCTGAGCTGATGCTCAAGACAGCATGGGTGTTGAGATGCACTCCCATGGGTGATTGTCTGAAGATGTGCTCATCACTCTCCTCTCTAGTTGTCTCCGTTTTGTCTTTGTGCCTCAGCTTTTATATTGCTGCATGTTTTCTGTATTTCTTTTATCCTTGTTTTCTGGGATTCGTGCACAAGTCTGTAAAGAGACATCTTGAAGTATAGTGTTCATGCGTGATCATGCTGCCTAGTTATTATTAGAAAGTTGTCCATAAAATCATCTAATTAGAGAGCTGTGCAGGAAACCCTTGCTTCTACTGCTTTGTACATGTGGCGGTTGTGTTTTTTATTCTTCCTGCTTGCTTTTCTGTTTGCTTTTATTTTCTTAGTGAGCAAATATCTGATTCAAGTAGATGTTTAGCCACGACCAGACACAGTGAGCTGAGCATGTCCTCCTGTTTACCTGTGCCTTGTTTTGTGGACAGGATTCCCTCTGAATCGTGGTTTGTCTTTATCAGCTCAGGAAATGAATAAATTGTCTCCCAGCCTCCGTGGAAGCAGAAAAATGTCTGATAGGTTTCTGCATAAGTATCCACCTTCTAATAACTCCGCCTTCCCTTTGTTGAGGCTCTATGCTGTATCTGTGTCTGTCGCCATGGTAACAGGAGAAGTACCAGCGAGAGCAGGAGAAGCTGAAGGAGGAGTGGGAGAAAGCCCAGAGGGAGGTGGTAGAGGAGGGGAGGAAGTATCATGAGGAGGTGTGTTTGTTGATGCTGGGGGGCACATGTTGTTTTGACACCTGATACTGAAAATGTTTGGACTTTTGGGGGATCAGAACATCACCTGAAACAAAAACTTTGACTTTGTGTGTCTAAAATTTAAAATTGGTGTGTTTTCTGTCTGTTTTGAACTTTGTCTCCTCACCACAGGAGCGCAGGATACTGGAGGAAACCGTGATGCCTCTGACTCCTCGCTCCTCTGCCCTGCCCTCCCCCAGCCGAGGTGAGCTCTCCTCCAGCTCCGAGCTTCAGGATACCATCGTGCGTTCTCTGGCTGACTGGGAACGCAAACAGGAACTGCTGGAGAGGCAGTCTGTGAGTGTTTCATTGATCCGTTTGGGATCTTCATGGAAGTTATTGCTCTGTTTGCTTTATAGAAAAATAAATATTTGCACATTTCACTTCACTATTCACATTTTCATTACCAAAGCATATTTTGGTACCACAACGACATGGAGAAGTAGCATCACACTCTTTTAACACCAGTGGGAAGACTGATAAGAGTCATTGTACATGCTCAGACGTGTCTTATGTCTGGCTCATTTGGTTTTTTATAACAACCTGGTGAGTTTAAAGTAAAGCTGTGGAATGCTAAAGATAAATCAGGCGCTGAAACCAAAATACAGAAAGAACAAGCCGGTTCTTGAACATCAGATGAGCTGATCAACCATCCATGTGTTTGATTGTTGACAGAGAGGAAACACAGAAAGTTCAGAGTGGAGACAGCGAGAGAAGGACAGAACCAGTGATACAAGCACAGCTGACGACAGCATGGACACAGGCAGAAGGTTGGTGAACAGAGTGTTTGTTTGAAAGATTCACAATTTGTCTTCATTATAATATGGGACATTTTTTAATATGTTTTTCTGTATAAATACACAAAAGAAATGCTTTAATGGGATTGTTAAATGTTATGTTTACGTGTGACAGATCCATGTTTTAAGGTTTTGCTTTTAGTAATAATTTTTTGTAACGCCATTGGTTCTGAAAAACAAATTCTGGGTCTGACACACTATTTTTATAGTGGACATTCACTAAGAAACCCATGATACTTGTTCTTTGAGAAATGCAACAGATTACTCTGAATTTCACAGGCAGCCTAAACACGAAATTTGTCTTCTACGCCTATTCCCTGCATTAGCTGTCGATAGTAAATAGATGAGGTAATGGTCGGGTCAGAAAAAGCCACACAGATCTACGTCACACTGTAGATGAATGTTTATGGACTCACCCATCTTGAATCATGGCAGGGAAGGCTGTTGGTTTAGCCTCCAGGAATCACAAGACAACGGGTGTGTCCAAATCCACAGGAAGGATGCTTATGAGTACGGGTCCTCGCCGGTCTAGCAAGGCCGGGTCCTTGAAGACCGCTAAAACCGGAAGTCAGCGGCTCTGAATTCGGACAGTACTAGCCTTCACCTCTACGGTGGCCCGTAGGTCCCGTCACAGCCGCGGCAGCAGCTACACGCAAACGAAAAATGCTAAAGCTAGCGAAAATGGAGCAGGAATATTAAGGAGCTACAGCAGCTTCACGTCCATCAGCAACGTTTGTTCACAACCGTTTTCAGGTAAAGTAATTTTGTTTATTCTAGAAGCTTTCCGGACTTACATGTTAACTTTAGATGGTTTCATGTATGTTTTAAACTACAGAATGAACTTGTTAAACGTACACAACACATTACTACAGAGTATTATCATGTAAGTAATTAATATAAACCAAATGCAGAATGTTGAATGCAGCAGGATGTTTTCTAATTTTATTTGGACCTTAGAACTTATTTTGCATCAAATGAGGGTAAAACGTTTTAAAAAACAGGCTTTTTAATAAAATAGCATAGAAGTGTTTTCAATGTGCATTTATTTATTCAACTTAAGCCTAATAATGCTTAGATCTGTCTTAAAAATGTAAATTTTCTGTAGTTTTTATTTAACTATTCCCTGCTGCTTTTCTTTAAACTGAACAGAATCGGTGTACTGCAGGTTATGTTTTGTTTTACATTTTTCTATAAAAAACCTCTTTTTTAATCTATTACAGGTCAGCATGCACTGTGCTGCACATCTGCCTCTGTGCTGGTGAAGTTGTGGGTCTGGAGGATGAGCGTGAGGAAGATGTGTGTGGAGGAGGTCAGCGGTGCTCTGTCCTGCAGGAGGTACCAGCAGACCACCACTGCTGTTAACAGGCAAGTCATTCACAGAGATGTAACAGCCGTCGTCTGAGCCAGCCCAGCAGTCCCTGTAGATGGACGATGGAGTGGACAGTGAGAGGAAGCGTCCCAGAGCTCACTCTGCAGACCGTCCTGTATGATGTTCCTCTGACCAGAAACGTCCAGCCACGGGTCTGCTCCAGCCCTCCATCCACGTCTGGATCCTCCTGCAGCAGATCCAGCTGCACTGTTAAGGACTTCCTGCTCACTCAGTTTAAATAAATGATCCAGGAAGAGTCACTCAGGTTAATCCTGCTTTAACCGTACATAACTGGTCCATACTGGTTTTGATCTGTAAATAAGTGTAACGTATTATAAATAATCTTGTCTCCTTACCATCTTTTCATTTTCTGTTCATGTAACATGTTCAAAAACATCTGTAATAATAAAATTGGTGATAAAATCAATGATCAGAAAGAGTTATCAGTTAGTATTTGTTTTAATAAATGTGTTAAAATGTCAAACAGCTAAATAACATTAACATGATGACAGTAGAAGGACTCTCTCCCAGGATGACAACAGGTAAAGCCTCTCCTGACCCTGGACACCTGCAGTCCTACAGAGAAAATCAGAGACCACAGGTGACAAAAAGGCAATAAACACATTTTTACATTTATCCACATGAGAAGATAAAAATTATATTCTTCACACAAACTTTTTACTCCATTAAAACGTGTCAGCTGTGTAAATCCCTGAATGTAAAACTACTTTTCACAGAAGAACGTCTGTGGTTGTGTGTAAACAGCTTCACTCTTCACCTCTAAGCTTAATAAAAACGCTTCTTTGCTTCGTTGTCCTTAAAACAAATGACAAGTTTAATTCGCCACACACACACACACACACACACACACACACACACACACACATAACTGGGACCCGGGAAACAAACTTGTTCTGGCTGATTTCTGCCTAAAATGTAATTTAAAGAACAAATATACAAACGAAAAATGTCTATAAACTGAACCGCTTTAAGCTTTTTAGATTTCTACGGCTAGTTTTTAACAAACTTACGTTTAAAACTTCGTAGCTTTCCCCATTTTCTCTACCTGTTGAAAATCCACAGCCGGTGCGCAAACCATGCTGGGATAGCCTTGTTGGTGAGGATACAACAAACCCGTCCTTGAAATGTGGGCAGAGCGAGGACGCGAGAATGAGTATTCTTGGAATTCGGATAGTGCTCGTCGCTGCGCTGTGACGTCATCGACCTTAAAATGCACTCTTACAAGCATCCTTCCCGTGGATTCGGACACACCCAACGTCTCGGCTAGTAGAAGCTAACCGTTAGCATTAGCAACTCCACCACACAGCAGAACTCCTTCAGACTTGAGTTATTTGTGGAGAGAAAACATCAACGTTGCAGAGCAAATGGAGTCAGTGGTAGTCACAATGCTGTTATCCAATCAGAGAGATGTTTGCATATCATGAACAGAAATGATTAAGACTCCAAATCCTGTCGTTTTCCACCCCCACTCCTCCAACTAATGCCTAGTTCATACTTCTCCATCAACAAGTTAGCACTCACACACGTATTCACGAAGATGTTTTCCTTTTATACTTCTCTGTTGCTGTGTCAGTGTTGTGAAGCCGTTCTCCACCAGGACAGCAGAGGCCTTAGACCTTTTCTGGCAGGTCTGCCTATTGCAGTGACGTCTCTGGTTGATGACGGTATATTTCAGCTTGAAAACGTGAATATCTTAAAGGAGAAGTGAATTTAAGTTTAAATTTCAGATTCTTGTGTTGATTGTGGAATTTGTCATTGTTCCTATTTTGTTGAATACAGTTGAAGATGAAAATAAATAAACAGAAAAGCTTGTAAACGCCAATTCACTCAAAAAGCAACGGCTGACAGAAAGCAAGTTTTCATTGAGCTGAAAGAATTCAACTGGAGCGATGGAGACTGCGGCTTCTGTGGACGGCCATTCCACCAACGCTGCTGCTATTGTTGGGCCGACCAATCACAGACGTGCACTCTCCATTGTATTTGATGGATCGTTAAAAAACGGGCTCTACTCTGTCTGTCGTTGCATGCCTGTTTGAGAGCCTTTGCGTGGATGAAAAATGGCACAGTGTGTTTCTGGACCTCCGCAGGCGGAGAGGTGTAAACTAGTCTCTATTTCTATGTTACGGCCACCAGCCTGGCCTTTTTAAACTTCGGGAGCCAGACTATTTTGTGACGCCACTCTGCGATGTGGACTCTGATTGGCCGGAATGCCGCCTTCCTCCTCTTCCCTCTGCAGGCCTCTGAGGAGCTCAGCTAAATGTCATCACCCTGATGAGGCACACCAGGTATAAAAGGCTGTGTCCACCTGACGTTCAGGGAGACAAAAGTGCGGGCTCGCTGTTGTTCTCCAGACCTCCCAAACCCTTTTTGTGGAACCTTTGTTTGTGTGGTTTGTTGGCTAATATTAACCTTGAGATCTTTATTAGGCGATCTCTGGTTGGATCTTAACTTTGGTGTTATGCTGGGGTAAGAACGCCTTTCGAGTTGTCAACCTTTGTTGACTCGGATCTTTATGATCTCTGCATGTTCGTTTAAGGTTAACTCCAGATCTGACGGTGCCTTCAGACGTTGTAGTTTAAAGCACTGGAGACCGCTGACGATGACTTGAAATAACAAGTTTTCACCCACGAGTAAATGACAGATTTGTTTGTTATGCATCAGTTGTGTTTTCTTTCTTTTTCCTACAGTTGAAATATTTTAATCACTTATTTTGTCCAGTGTGAGGCAGTTTTTTTTTATTATTTATTTATTTTTTGAATGCATGTGGGAACCCTTTTTGATCAGGCGCTGTTTTTAAAATATCCATTAAACTCAACAAAATTGTGAACACATTTTATTTAATGTGTCACCTTTGTTTCTGTTTCGGACGGTCAGCCTGGTGAGTCAGAACAGCAGCCAGGCAGAAAGACTCGGTCACGGCGTTCACAATGGACAGAAGTTTCCTCCACCTCCAGCCAAACCTTCTACACCGGTCAGGAAACCACAAGAACCCCCAGCTGAGAGCGACGGGCCAAGTCGGCCTGCTGGAGAGAGAAGGTGTGTAAATGCAACTGTAAATAAAAAGAACTTCAGCCATGCTTTGTCTGAAAGATGTTGTTTCACAATGATTCATTTGACCTTTGGACATTGCTTTATTGTCACGTATCACTAAATAAATAAATGCTGTTCTACTTTGTTTAAAAAAAATTCCATGATGTAAAATTGAGATTTTATTTGAGATTTTATTCCAAGGGTGACCAGCAGGTGGCGTCTTTGACCCGAATTTCCCTGCATAGTTCTCCTTTATTTGAGGTTAAATACTGTAGGTTAAGAGATTTTTTCAACATTTTAATTTGTGCTTTTATAAGTAGAAACATATAAAACAATATTTCTAAGGAACAAAGTAAGACCAGATCAGCTGATATAGATTTGCTGTGCTCTGGTTTGGATTGGTCCTCTTCTGACTCTGGCAGCCAATCACACCTCTGTATCTGTGAGCCATCATTGTATTGCATGTTGCTGTCCGTTTGCAGGAGTGGCTCCATAAATAATAACATAAGAAGCAGCTCATCAAAGCCTGCCGCAGCATGTCCATCAGCACCAGACATGCTGCCCCCACCTCCCAACAGGTACTGCAGCACAACGATCCCCACAGCGAGGGGCGGCAGATCACTTCTGCATTGTCATTTTCTGCTTCACTGTCCACGTTTATTTTTTATTTTCCACCCATCTCATAACATGCGCCACTGCAGCAGCGACGCTCCAACCTGTCTGGAATTTCAATAGAACAGAAGGCAGGTGGAGTCGAGGAGAAGCACGAGTTTATTTGTTCATTTGATGCTTCAAGTTATCTGATAGTTTTCTCAATTTACAAGAATCAAACACACAAACATGACTACAAATGTTGATTATGTAGGAGGAAGAAGTTTTTATTGTATTTGCTTTGATGTGGTATTAAAAAGCAGAAATGATTAAAGAACAGTGGTGGAATAACTGCGCATCAATGCAGAAAACAAATGTGCAAAAATCTGTGTGTGTGTGTGTGTGTGTGTGTGTGTGTGTGTGTGTGTGTGTGTGTGTGTGTGTGTGTGTGTGTGTGTGTGTGTGTGTGTGTGTGTGTGTGTGTGTGTGTGTGTGTGTGTGTGTGTGTGTGTGTGTGTCCACCCCCACCCGTCCTGCAGGTCTGTCAGTGGGAAGAAGCTGTGTTCCAGCTGTGGTCAGCCTTTAGGGAAGGGGGCAGCCATGATCATTGAGACCCTCAGTCTGTACTTCCACATCCACTGCTTTAAGGTTGGTGCTCAACAGACCAGTCATCTAGATGTGATGTTTAAAGACAGGAAGGTATTTTCTGTTTTAGGTCTGTACACACTGATGTGTGTGATGTGTGTGATGTTTTTAAAATGGCTGCTGTTCAAAGCTTCCTGGAAGGTCTCAGATTAGAGAAACAGCGTTTATGCCCTACAGAACCAATAAGCTAACGGCTCTGCCAAAACCAAAGTGCATCTCTGTCATCCTCAGTCTACCAAGTCCCACAGCTGTTGTTGTGCTGTTCATTTGTAAACCATTACCCCCCATAACTTCTGCATGACATGGTTGTTTCAGCAGAAACAGTCTGCTGGACTTGACCCCTGGATGCTCTGAACATGCTGCAGATCGCTGCCATTTACTAAATGAAGTGTGTAAAGATTTATAAAATAAATCTTGTTTGACTTCATGTGAAATCTTTAAGACTGGAGTCCTTTTAAGGCGGCAGCACTGCCCTTTGACCTTGGTTGTGTAGTAGCATTAGCATTGACCTTGGATAAGCGTTTTGCTCACTGGACATAATTCAGGAAGGCCAGAAGTCCTTGTAATTAGTGAATAAGTATCTTTTCCTTCTCCGTGTCTGATGCTTTCTCAGTGTGGGGTGTGTAAGGGACAGTTAGGAGACACGACCACGGGGACAGACGTCCGAATTAGAAACGGCCTCCTCAACTGTAACCAGTGCTACATCCGCTCTCGCTGTAAGTAACTTACTGACCCCCCCACATGTCTTGACTTTATGTTCTAATGCTCCCATTTCTGAACTATGAATGAGTGGCGGTTGTTTTATTTTATTGTAGTTTTTATTTTGAAAATTAAATCTTGAGAAACTTTTAATCCAAATCTTTGATTTTATGATATCATTTTAAAAGCATTATCATGGTAACTATTTATTTTTGAGTCAGTATTTTCTATTATGAAGATATTTCAGACTCATCAGGAGGAACCGCCGAGGCAGCTTTCGAGCAGAAAGGACTGGACCTTTTAGTCGCCTTATTTCACCACAATACTTCTCACAAGCCATAAAATTAAAATCGGAATCAAAAGCCACCTGGGGTTTTATTTTATTTATGCTTTCTTTAATCTGATTAAAATGTTTGATCTTGTTTTTGTTTCCTGTCTTTTCCGTCAAGCGGCCGGCCAGCCAACCATGTTGTGACAAGCACAAGGTTCATGGAGGAAGCCCTGTCCCTGTTTGAACCTGATTATCTTTAAATCACATCCTCCGCAGTGTGGCGGGATCCTTGCTTCCTCTGCAGCTCACCAACCGCTGAAGATTCTTCACATGGGACAAATGTAAACCTGTGGACTGCTGTAAAAAAACAAAATATGTTCTTCTTATGTAATCTGATACTCTGAGATCTGAATGGGATTGGTCCGTGTGCATCCACAAGCTGTTTCATCCCAACGGCCATGTTGACAAGAAATCACAATAACGGTGATTAACTCCAGTGAGAGTGAACACAAAAACACAAAGAAACGTAGACCCAGTGGGCGTTTTACGTAAAATGTACCTTTTAGTCCATGTAAAATGAAAACCTATTTAAGAAACGAGATAATAAGACTCCAAAAACAGAGGCAATAATGTGATGAGGATTTTATAAACATGATGGGATCTGAAATGATCATTCCTGCTACCCCATTCACTCACACACATGGGTTTAGTGAGATCATTAAAGTAACAAAATATCCAGTAAAGGTTTATTTTCTTAACACTTGTCCCTCTCCGGGTTCTAGCATGGTTCCTGTTCTGTGTACAGGATGAGATGAGCTCCAAATACAAAGACACAGGAACGAATGTAGGTTTATGAACCGGCAATAACACGTGAGCTGTTTGTGTCCTCCTGGGTCGCAGCAGGTTGCTCCTTATCCAATATGTCTGCTTGGGAATTGAAGACTTTAATGTGCCTTAGCAGAGCTGGAAAACATCCTCGTCCGAGGTGTTTTTTAGGGATTTGGCCAAATTTAAACTCTTAAACTGCAGACAAGCTGCAGAGTTTTATCATGCAACATTTAAGTACTGTTTAATTTTAAATGGATTATCTCCCTTTAAGCACTCGCATTGAACTTGTGAAGAATTAATAGATATAAATGTGTTTGGGTGGAATCTTGCCATACTGCAGGGGCAACAGTGCTGACGATGATGGTGTCATTCTGTGGGTGGTTCTGTTTTAATGCACATGACGGAGGTCATCCTGATCCTTTATCAGCTGTAGAATTCATTCATACATCAAACAGAATCAGAAGCAAGGGTAACATGAACACAAACCAGCAGCTTTTTGGTTGGATGAAAACGGAAGATCTGTCCTGCCAACTGCACATTTTTAATCACTAGCTTACATTTTATTCAGTATAAGAAGAGATCCATATATTTTGGATGTAAAAAATTGCACGTATATGCAAGAAACCAAATGATTTGCTGTATGAAAGTAAACTAGCAGCCTCCTCTTTCTCATCCGTGCTTCTCTGGTGTCATAACTCTCTGACCTGCAGTATTTTAAGCCTATTCTCTGACTGTGTGTTTTATTTTTATCTTTAGTTACATTTAGGATGAGTCTCTTCTAGCCAGATCTTTGAGACTGAGAATCAGACAGTTTTAACAGGATAGCGGGGGAATGAAGCTTTTTTGCATCTGTACTGTATTGTAATATTCACCTGAAGACTATCTGGAATAAAGTTTCATTTGGTGTTTAAATGCAACTACATTTATTATTGCATACTGTATGTTTATAAATAAAATATTGTAAATGCAAGCAGGGCTTTCTCTGTTCTGTCTTATTTTTGCAACAAAAATAACTTGAACTTAAAACATCTTGATTTAAAATAAAAGCAAATTTTATTTGCTTTAATAAATCAATGTTTCCATTTTAGGATTGGTTAGTGATGCACAACACATCTGAAGGATTCTTTAGAAATATTTTATGATTTTGACATGGAATATTCAAAGAGAATAAATGTTTAAACATTTGAAATGTTTGTGAAGTTGGACTGAATTCTGATTGACTTAAAAAGAGTGGTTACGTTTTAAATAGCTGGTATTTTTTTATGACTTGATATATTCACAGATTGGCTGTTATATGTTAGTTTTGTTTTTCTCCGTTGGATCAAGTCCCAAAGAGGGGCTTTATTTACATTTATTGGAGAGTTTTCCAATGTGATGTCACAAACTCGGGCCTCAACGTTTTCTTTATAAAGGAGTTCTCAGTTTTTGTTTTCTAACATGTCTAAAGTTTAAGGTACCTTTTCACTTAGACAAAAAAAACGTTGAATATGTAAGAATTTATTCAAAACCAATCATTCTAAGGTGTCTTTATTTCCTCATAAAAAAAATCCCATTTTGTGTGAGCCGGGTTAATTTTAGGAGCTGTCCTTGGTGCTGAAAGCGCTGCTCTTTTAAAATCAGGAATATTAAAGTGAAACTGTTTCAAGAATATCTCAAAAACAGTATTTAAAAAAGGTAAGTCCAATTTTGCCCACAAAAGAAAACCAGACAAAAACAAAGTGAACCAATATTTTTTTATCATCAACAATCATTTCAATGGTACACCTGGAAAACTATGTGCACATGTAGAAATATTTCCTTCTTAAATATAAGCATTCATTACCTACATATAAATAACTTTCGGATCCTGGACAAAAACGTGTTACATAATGCTCACAAAATGGGAGACAAATCAGTGTAAAATTAGAGACAACATGCAAATTATATAGAAATAAATACAACGTTTGCATCCATTCCCTGTTTTTTTTTCTTTCATTTTTTCTTTTTTCATCTTTTACCCAAAATAAATTCTTCAGAGGGAATTTAGTAAAACACCAAAAAAAGACTTGCATGGTGGATCTACGAGGGAGTATGGTCTATGGTTCAACTAGAGACAAGAATACGTATTAACACTATACAGTCTGAGCCACAAAACACTGCCGTAGAAAGACACACAGAACATACAGATTTCCTGTCGGGGGTGAACATTGCAGTAGTTTGTGCCTTTTTTAGAATCTCGAGGAAATAAGTGTGTTTATATCGACAATTTAAAGAAACTAAACTGTCAGCAGCCCTAGAAACGCAAACATCTCTGGAAGCGCGCACGTCCACACAGCGGGGCGTTTGTAGAGAACAGAAAGCTTTATGAGTCAGCGAGTTAAGTTTTTCTCCAGCCAGGTGGATTTAACGTCTCCGATCCGAACACAGCGCCTGCGTAATGAGGCTCCTTGATTCACACTGCGCATTTCCCATTTATACTTCCTCAACATTTGGACTGAAAATAAACATCTAAACGAGCATATTGTCCCCCATGAACCTGACTTAAGGAATGCTGTTTGTGTTTTTAAACTGATGCCTGTTTTTAACAGTTTTGTCTACAAACGAGGGATACATGACACATCCCGTCTCACTGCTTTAGTAGTTCTGATGCTCGAGAGATGAAGGGAATCGGATTCGTTTGCAGAATAATCACAACGTGACTTGTTTAGGTGAATACTTTAAAGGAAATGTGTCGGGCTAAAGAAATGGCGCAGTGCGTAAAAATAAAAAGATCGCGTTCGTCCCTTTTGAACTACTGTTTATTGTCCTCAGGTGTGTCTTGAAGCGATTGCTTTTCAGTCTCCGGAGTAGGAAACGCGTCTCTTCCCTCCTGCTCTCTGGTTCTTCATCTCAGAGGCTTCATTAGAACATGCTGGTTTTTACTAACGTGGCTTTAGCTCCGTTCTGTCTCTGCAAAGACGACAGCACGCTAGCGAATGGCCCGCCCAAAGAGTCCGGGATAGACGTGATGGTCCCGGGTGCGGTGGCCCAGCCTTGGCTGGGTGCTGTCACTCCCATGCCTGAGGACACGGAGGTCTTCACCTGGTCCACCTGTCCGTTCCCGTTCGTGTTGACTTGGCCTGCGGTGGGACTCGGTCCGCCACAGTTGGAGGTCGGAACCGGGTTTGGTCCTGGTCCCCCTGTGCTGTCAGGGTCGGTAGTTTTGGTGTCTTTGCTGTCTTCGTCTCTGGAGTCGGACTTCTTTCCGGAGCTGGACTTGGCCGCCGCTGCGGCTGCTGCAGCTGCGCGCTCCTGCTTGCGGAACTTGGCGCGCCGGTTTTGGAACCACACCTGCAATCATTCAAAACAAATTTAAGATTTTATATGATCATATGGCTGAACGTTTATATTTCGGCAGGTAAAACGTAGATATATGTGTAAACTTGGAGCTTAATTCTGTGAAAAAAATCCAGAACATTTAGATAAAAGAAACATCTGCTTTAGCATTATTAGATAACTAGTTGTTAAAGTTAATTATCCTAATTAAAAAATGGTTGATGTAGTAAAATTCACAAAAATTGAATCCTTAATTAGACGCAATGACATTGTAGTTAAAAAGTAAAATCTCCATGCTTAGTTGTGCGTAATGGAGACGCGATTGGGTGGCCCGTAGTACCTGCACTCTGGCTTCAGTCAGATCGATTTTGAGCGCCAGCTCCTCTCTGGTGTAGATGTCTGGGTAGTGTGTCTCAGCGAAAACCCGCTCCAGCTCCTTCAGCTGGGCGCTGGTGAAGGTGGTCCGGATGCGCCTCTGTTTCCTCTTCTCGTTCAGTCCTCCGTGATCCGTGAAGAGTTTGTAGGGAACTGAAAACCAGGTGAAATGTCACGGTTATGTGTGTTTTCCAGGCAGTAATAGGGGGGAATGTGATTGTGTGAGTCGGATGTTGTCAAATGAAATTCAAATAGGTTATTTTGTGTAAAATCCGGTTACGCATTTGATTGCGTTTGGATTAGATCAGAACTGATAACACCGCTGACCTGTGAAGCGGTTAATTGTGATGTTAAATGAATTGTTGCTCCTTAGATTGAGGTTCAAGTTTAAAATCGTGTCATACGGTTGCCATCCTCCCCGCTTGTTGCTACTGTAACTCCAATTTGGTGTCAATAATGAGCTTTAGTCTTTGGTTATCTAATTATTTTCGAAGCTTTATGTGTCATCGCAAAGTAAATAAATTATGCCTATCATTTTGGCAGCTTAAGATAATTCTGTTGGCGGTTTTGGGTGTGACTGGGATAGTATAACCCCATAACCGAATTACCTCTTGCCTGCAATCGCTTCTAACGTGATAAATTCTTTCATTTGTGTAAGCAAATTTCGTTTGGTAAATACTAAACACATTTCCATTTTCAAATGCAATCAAGCCGTCCTTATAATGCACCGGGTTGAGGCTCCGGAGCCGCTGCTTACCTGCGGCGTACGGGCTGCTCTGGTGGTCCCGCAGGGTCCCAAGACTGCAGGACCCCGGCGTGAGGGACGGACAGCCGGAGGTGGCCCCGAAAGTGGTCCTGATGGGATTGTACTGAAAGCCGCTGGTTTGACTGCACGAGCTGAAGTCCGCATAGGCCGATGCCAAGCTCGACGTGTCCATCCCGGCCATACATGATTCGTAGGCAGAGGAATTTAGGTAAGAATACTCCATTTTATACATTTGAGAAGGCTCGGTAGAGGTTGAAAGCTGCACTTCCCTGCAAAAATGTCAAACAAAAGCACCCAAAAATTTGGGTTTGAAGGGGAAAAAATAACAGTGAGGAAAACGAACGATGATTTTGTGGGAAGGATGACTTGTTTAGTTTGAACTGGTTGGAGAAAAAAAAAGGCTGGACGGTGAGTAGATGTGCACTGCTCCGCGCCTGCTCCAAAACTGGCCTCCTTTATAGGAACCTAGCCCTGTTTTATGAAAAGCCCCCTAAGAGCCGCCTAGCCTGAGGTCTCTAGAGCATATAGTCCTCATAATAAACTTGGCTCTTTCCGCTTGGACAATAGCAAAGCGTTTGGTCTTATTGCTAGCGCTTTTTTACATGACAATAACTCATCAGTCTATTGGGCTGGCACTGGGGGCCCGGGCTGTCCAACCTCCCTATCATTGATCCCCTGCATCTCTAATTAGAATTTAATACCACGCCATTACGCAGCCCTCCACCACCGCCGCCCACCCCCTCTCTACCCATCCACCCCACTCCTCTCCAACCAACATCTTGCCCTTTAATTCAATCACACCACTTGGAAATAATGAAAGTTGGGTGACGATTCTCCCTGATCCAATTTTCTCCAAGCTTTTAAGCCTTTTAAGCGACCGTATACCTTGGGCAGGATTTCACAGAGTATTCCCACTCTGCCTCTTCTTTCTGTCCGTGCGCTCAACATTTTTTTCTTCCTGCTGTTTTAGACTCTGATTTTCTGCTCCGGAGCCGTAAAACCTGTCCATTTAAAACCGTCATTTTTACGCACAGAGATCAGAGGGTTTTATACCAGCTTTGCTAATTTTTTCCAAAAAAATAAAACCAAATGTGTGTTCGGTGATTTATTTTCTTGTTTTCTTTGGAAAAAATATTACAATTAAATGTGCAAAAATTTTCATTCGGGTGTAACTTCCTTTATGAAATGTATGCAAAATACATAAAGCACAAAGAGGAGAGGCGCACATTAGATTCTGTGTGTTTTTTTGATTCATAAATGACTGAATTAGGCTGCATTTGCAAGAAATTACACAAAACTGATTTAAATGCGCAGAAGTAGAACATTCTCAATCAAAACTCCACATATTTTACACGAGTCTGGTTTCCAGTCTGTCTTTTTGACCAAACTAACACACCTTTGTTTTTTTCTTCGCCTCCACTGGGGGCTGCGATCTCTACTAAACTTCCGGGTGTGTTGTTTTATGATTCAAATGACTTTATAATTGTCTTTATTACTTTCATTATTCCGTTTATTTGGCAAATAACATCTTTCTAATGAAAGTAACGAACTGGCGAGGCAGTCATCGGACCTCTTAGGCTTCCCAATATTGGCTGAGTGGTTAATTCGGTTTGTGTAATAAGGTGAGCGCTCACACACTCGGTGTGTTTTCTTTCTCTTCTTTCATTGAATTGAGTCTTCTCGGTGGAGCTCTCAGTTGTATTTTCTCCTTAAAAGATGAAACAATGGCGCACCAACAACGCGCTCATCTGGTCCGTTAGATGATTTAAATACTACAATAATACTTTAAAATAATCATACAGGGACTGTGAGTTTGATGCTTCGTGACTGGATTAAACATCTGAGTTTGTTTGAACTGTTTTGTTGTCCACCTGTCCAACCTGTTCAGTCTTACAGGAATGTTATCTCTCTCTCTCTCTCTCTCTCTCTCTCTCTCTCTCTCTCTATATATATATATATATATATATATATATATATATATATATATATATATATATATATATATATATATATATATATATGATTTTATCGTCATATTGATGTTTTTCCTTCAGCCTTAAAGACACCTGGGAAAATGCTGATTAAAAAACTTCAAATACTTTCTGAAACCAAAAAGAACAGCGTCTCGCTTTAGCACTTTTGTAATAAATAAAAATCTGATTCAAATATTGATAAAACGCAACATTCCAGTGAAACTTTTTTTATTCAGTTGTTTTAAAATAAGTTAAATTATATGATCGTTTCTTGTCATCGTTGCACATTGCAGCTCCAAAAATATTTGCAAAAACAATTTAGACTTCTCTCCACAGCTGTCGACGCGCTGCAGCGTAGTTCTCTTTCTTCCTTTTTCTCTCTTTTCCTCATTGTCTCCTCAGAGATGAACAGAAAACGTCAATTCTTTACTGACACAACCCGCTTCCTATTATGTAAATGCTTTCTTTTTTATCTCCTTTCTACACACGAGCATGAGACCCTAAAGTTGTACCAAATGGTTAATTTGATTATTGAAACCAAAGAGCCAAATGGTTCACCGTCCTCCCTCCACGCGTCTGGCAGCGAGAAAAGAAGCCATCTCTGAGAATTAATCTAATAACGCTCAAAGAAACGAGAAGTCTTTTCTGATATTTCGCCGAGGCAAATACAATTAGAGCTTTTAGCCATCGGGTTCTTTCACTGAAGCCGCTTTTTATTTGTGCGCTCCGTGGCCTCGGTCTCCTCCGCCAGAGTCCACCAGCCATTCAAACGCCTCCTCTTTGATAGTTTCAACATCTTTTAATTCTTTCAGCTGAGTCGGGCGAGACGAAAGGCCACTGTTTACTTTTTGATGTGCGAATATTCAATTCAAACCATTGCAGAGCAGTCTGAGCTGCTTGTTTTAAGCCAAGGGGGCAAAAGACGCACAGGGAACGCTGTGGTTGAATCCCATGTGGTGATTTACAGTAGCATAATGGTGCTTTAATGCAAATAAAGCAGCTGTTAAATTGTAATTATATGGCAAATAAATGGCTTTGACTGTTTAGCATTACTTAAATAAATCAGGAAAATGCGATGTGTGCAAGACCCCGAGCTATCCCTGCAAGTGCCGAACAATAGTTGAGGTAAAGGAGGAACTCCTCTCCATTTAGTGCGCACTATCGTTGCTCAGCAATATAGGAATGCGGGTCGACAGGAGGGACAAAAAAGAGAAACAAAATGCCATTGTCTCTGGATGGATTGGATGGATCCACTCCCCCGAAAAGGCAAAGAAACAGAGGAGGCTAAAAAGAGGGAGAGCGATGGGAGGGGCCGCTGTCACATTTCACCTTCGACGTCTCACTCCTCCGCCCGAGGAAATCTTGCGCTTATCAAAACGGTTATTAATAAGGCCGCTTGTTGCAAGGGAGGGGCTGCGGAGCAGATCAAACATTCATTTTAGAGACACTCTCTTGGCGATTTAGTCTGATGTCTCAATTTAACAGGATGGATGAAGGCGACGGGTGCGCTGAATGAAAAAAAACATGGTGGATTGTTGTATTTTTATTTATTTTTGTCACAGTTTCCAATTTGACAAGAAACCGAATGAGATATGAATGCTGTCCGTTTACAGAACTTCTGCATTTTCAGAGTTTAAATCTAAAAGTTAAGCCCGTGATGTAGAGCATGAGGGGCACGTTTGAGGTGTTCCAGACGGGTGCGTAAAAAGCGCATCACGTTTCCAAGCGCGCAGATGGAAAGTGACATCTGGAGAAGAGACTAAATTAAATTAGAAGCTGGTTTCTCCTCTCGGTGTCTGCAGAGTAAGGAAGGAAAACACATCACAAAGGCACGTCGGGGTTTTCAGCCTGGCGCGCGCAAGTTCAGTCATGTTGTGGTTTTAAATGCTGCACCTTTACTCTGCCCCCCGCGCTCTAAGGGTTGTGTGTTAAAGAAGAGGATGAAACCATCAGTTTTTTATTATTGCATCACCTAAATATTAGTAAAATGATAATTGACTTTTATATTTTCATGCTCTGACCCTCAATTTTATGTAATATTTCTGCACATGTCATCTTGCCATTGCGTTCCCGAACCCAAAAGCATCTCCTGGAGAGCTCTGCTTGTCGATCATGCCCCTCATTGAGCCCTCTGAGCTTTATCTGTGCTCCCCAAGTGACCACGAGACCAGCCAGTGGATTAACATAAAAATCTTATTCCGGAGGATAAGATTAGGAAACATATTACCCTCAAACGCGGCCTTGGCACGAGCGAGAGCCAGGCAAGGAATCAATTACTAAATTACTCCAACCTCTAAGTCGACATTAACGCAGAGAAATGCCATCGACCGCTTCTGAAATAAGATTTCGCTAAGATGTGATCATTAAATCTCTTGCCAGTGTTCAAGAATTTGATTCATAAAATCGTCTGAAATGAGATGGAATTAAATTCTTATCGGGGCTCTTGTCATCGTTTCATCCCGCGCTGTTTAACGGTGGTCAATGGCCTTCATGAGATTTTCCCTGTAAATAAACTTAGTAATCGAATCCGCCTCTCCACGACACATTGTTCGGTTGTTATTCATTTATTGCAGCGGTGCAGGCGAGCGGGATGGGCGCATGTGAGCCAGACAGTCTGCTGCCTGGCTCAGAGCTCCTCTCTCTAATCACAGAGTAAAAGATATATTTTCTTTTATTTGTTGGGTTTTAAGCTGCAACAAGCTGCGACTCTTGAACATAGTGTGTGTGTGTGTGTGTGTGTGTGTGTGTGTGTGTGTGTGTGTGTGTGTGTGTGTGTGTGTGTGTGTGTGTGTGTGTGTGTGTGTGTGTGTGTGTGTGTGTGTGTGTGTGTGTGTGTGTGTGTGTGTGTGTGTGTGTGTGTCTTTTTTGCCTCCTGCTTCTTGCCCCTGATAGGGTCAGGGCATATTTTATTTCACATAGTCCACATAGGAATTAGCAATAGACAATTATTAGCTTCAGCCTCATAAATCAGCTGCATGACCCGTTATTATTGTTGAATTGAATAGCTGTTGGGGAAGTGAGGGTCAGTGTCATTAACTTGCCGCCTCCTCCTCTTCCTCCACACACCACCCGCGGGCCCCCTGAAGGCATTTGGCCCCTCTATACAAGGACCTGCTGGCTAATAATGCCGTGTGGTTGGCCCAGAAGCTTAATCACACATGCATTAAGCGGCAGACAGCGGCCTTTTGTGAGCACGTAGGTTTACTGGAATTAAGCGATTAATGGTCATCCGAGCGGCAGGCGACAAGGCGGCGCATCGAGGATGATGGAGCACTTTTTAATGTCAAAAACACGCAGCGGAGGGGTGAAAGGAAAGGAAGGGAAACAAGGATGGAAGCCGTGAGGGGAACTAAGGAGGGAGCAATTACAGTAATCCTTCTCCTCCAATCCATCATAAAACGTCAAGGTCATTGTGGATTACACTGATTGTGATGCAACGCTTTGTGATGCTTATTACACACCCCCCCGCTTCCACATTATAATATGCAAAAAATGCCACATGTAAACACCTGCTATCAATTTCTAAAGCTGCTAATTTGCTGCCCCTCCTCCTTTTTCTCAGTTTCATATTCCTTTGATGTATTATGAGTGAACACGTGGCCTGGCATTACTCAAGTTTAGCCTCCAGACTCCAACTGCATAAAGCAGCAGGCAGCTCATATGAATTATGATTTTC